AGCCAAATTTCTCACCAAACAACTACAGCCCTATGCAGAATCCATCAACGCACACGTAAAAAACTCATTCCAGTTCATCGAGATCATAAAGAAACAAAACTTACAACCCAGCGACCTACTAGTGAGCTTTGATGTCATATCCGTCTTCACTCAAGTGCCTATAAAAGAAGCATTGACAGTCATCTAAAACAAATACAGCCCCCCAAGCGCATCCTAGATCTGACCAACCACTGCCTGTCCAATACATACTTCACCTACAACGGACAAAAATACAAACAAATAGAAGGAGCACCCATGGGATCACCCCTCTCACCTGTCATTGCAAACCTCTACATGGAACACTTTGAAACACAAGCTCTAGAAAAATATGATCACAAACCCAAACTCTATGTAGATGACACCTTCATAATCCGGCCACACGGGAAAGAAAAACTGAACAAGTTCCTCACACACCTCAACAGCCTACACCCCAAAATACAATTCATCATGGAAACAGAAGCTAACAATCAACTTCCCTTCCTAGATAGATGTCTTAGTATACAAAAAATCCAATGGCTCCCTAGGACATACCATCTACCAGAAGAAAACACATACAAACCGCTATCTACACGCACTCTCACACCACCACCCAGCACAGATCAATTCCGTAGCCGAGACACTCATCTCCAGAACAAAATGCTTAGCCGACGAACAACACTTAAAAACCAAACTACACACTCTCACTAACGTACTAACAGCCAATGGATTCCAAAGAAAGAAGATTACCCACCTAATCCAAAAAGAAACCCCAACCAAAATCCAAGACAGAGAACAAGAGAACGGCAAAGCTCTCCTCCCATATATAAAAGGCACTACAGACAAAATCAGCAAGATCCTCCAAAAACACAACATTAAAACAGCATTCTGCACAAACAGAAAAATATCCACCATCCTAGGAAATCCTAAAGACAAAATCGAGTTAGAAAACCAAGGAGTATACGAAATCCCTTGCACCGCCTGCCCCACCACATACATCAGACAAACTAACAGAAGAATAAGTGCACGCATTGAAGAACACAAGAACTCAATCAAAAAAAGAAGAACCGACCTCTTCCCTGGTCCAACACCTCAAAGCCACAGGACATGAGATTGACTTTAAAAATACCAGAACTATCGCCAAAACCGAACACTTCAACAACAGAATAATCAGAGAAGCCATAGAGATAGAAAAACGCCCACACAGCATGAATAAACGAGATGATACCTCCCGCCTACCAGCCATTTGGAAACCCGCCTTCATTAACAAACGAGTACCTAACATGAAGAATGACACCAGACCCACACCCACGAGGGCTACACAAGATGCTACCACCACACTTCTACGTAGAAAGCAGACTCACACCCACACAGAAAATGAGACACAACCACGGACCAGAAGCCGTACCGCAGCTGCATCACTACCCGCTTCAAACCCCTCTGACCCATACATGAAGTGAACTGATGCCCACCATGAAGATGTGGCACGACCACGAACGCGAAGCCAAACAACAGGATCACAGCTCACCAGCTCAAATCCCCCAGCAACTAAGACTAACCTGAACACAACCAAGCCCCCACCAGAACAGAACACACCCCCAGCCAATCAGAACACAGCCAAACCCCCAACCAATGAGAATACACCCCCACCCAATCAGAACACAGACAAGCCCCCACCCAATCAAGTCACACCCCCACTAGCAGTTAAAAGGAAGAAGCCGCTGCAAGCTCACATTACTCCGAGAAGCACAAAGCCGAAGACACAAGCCTGAAGATGATGAATGAGACTTCATCAAAACGTTGCCTAGATACTTCCAATTTTACGCGGGAGAAAACCCGAATAACCAAAGATCCACATACAAATACCCGCGAAAACTTTTCGCGGGTATTTGTATGTGGATATATGTATGTATGTATGTATGTATGTATGTATATGTATACGTATACACACACACACACACACACACACACACACACATATGGTATTCAGCTTTGTTCGGGTATTTTCCCACGTCATTGTAGTTGTGCTTTTAAAGTTGTAGCAACGCGCACACACACACACACACACACATGTATATTTATAGTATGTATAGTTTGTAAAATAACCTAGAGAGAAATGAATTTTCTCTTAAGAGTAGGTTACTACTGTTACCCTTTTATGTTTGCAGTGCTTTGCCAGTCCAAGAAAAAAGAGAATATCGGTATACAACCTCATACTTCCAGTAAGTCTTAAGCCAGGGCATAGCTTCTGTTAACATCACAGCACGGATTTTACTTTTGTCCACTGTATATTATTTTTTCTAAATCCCAGCTATTCCAGATCCTAAGTGGGTTTCACAGTGCCGAATGCCAAACCATTGTGGCTGCTGCTCCAGTGCCTTCTCTTTCTCTCTCCTACAGATTCGGCTAATGAAAGGACAGAAGCCTTTTGAGGACTCCATGGGCTTTGATGGCATACATATTGTGAGTCACCTGGCAGTGGACGATGACTCGCTGCATTCTTCAGATGAAGAATTGCTGACCAGCCCTATGGTAGTGGGTGCCCTGCAGGATGTTTTGTATCCACTGTCTCCTCACAACACACACTTTCTGCATGGGGCTGAAAGCTCTGGTAAGGAGAGTGACGGCACCACGGATAGCGACCCTGATGAGCCTACCTCTGCCGCTGAGGCCAATGGTGAGATCATCTTTGCAGAGGCCCTGGGCAAATGAGGAGCGATGCTGCCATCCCAACTCAGTCAGTTGATCCCCTGGTCCTGTTGTAACTAAGAAGTCAGGGACCCGATGGAACTGAGTCTTCGGCCCAGTGAGTATCCTGGCTCAGATGTGGCATGGAGTGTCCTACATGAACAAATATGGATTGTTATCAGCACTGCCCTTTTTTTCAGCTTTGCCACTGGGAGTTAAAATCCAAATCCAGGTATTGGCCTCATCCATGTCCTGCTTTCCACACTTTTTTTTTCCTTCTCTACACAAAGATTTGCACAGATGAGGACTGTGAAGGGGCAGCAGAAGCAATCAATCCACAGATTCCCTAAAATGCAGCCTAGCTGTATTCCATCTCTGTCTCCTTGCTGTGCTTGGAGGAGGGAAAGGGATTGGTCTTCCCTTTATTTATATTTGTCTCCTAGCATGCTGCTGTGCATCCAGAGGAGAAAACTGAGTGCCTGCATAATTGTATGTAAATTTCCACCCTGGAAAAGGACAAGAAGGAGAAATGAGCTTCTGAGGAGGTGATTTGTTCTAGTGAGGGAGATAATATTTTTGTTCCTGTTTATTATTTATTTTTTAGAGTGCAATTACTAATCCAGCTCTTCGAAAACTTCGATGGTTTTGAAGGCTTTTATATGGAGGAGCCAAAACTGCTTCTGTAACGTAATCATACAACAGTTTCTATTTAACTACGTAAAGGGATATGCTTTACTAACTCCACTTTTATATCATATTTTCAAACTCTGTTTTTTGCAGCATTCTGGCTCGGTGCCTAATTGGCTCGGACAGGAAGACAGTCCATCAGTGCACATGCACATGCGTGCACACATACACACTTATATAATTGAAGCGGGGACAGGGAAATACGTTAGTAAGCTGCTGTTTGATTCATGAGATCAGTATTAATTGCTAAATTTTCAGGCAGCTGAGAATTTGACAGTGTTACTGTGTGGCAAGAGACGAATATGTGGGATATCTAGATAGCTGATTCTGCCAAGATAAAAAAATGAAGGCCCTCGAGGGCTCAAATTTGAGTTACATATCAAGTAGAAGAAATGAGTTTCCTAATATTATGTTTGCCTCCAAACATTATTAGGGTAGGGATAGCAAGGGAGAACCAGCAGGCAAGTTATGCTTAACCCTTATGCGTTTACTGATGATTCTGTGCCAATGCTCTTCGGTTCCATTATGCCTTGGGAGCATTGGGTTATGTAAAATGTAATTCTGCTCCCAGGAGCAATTCCTTGCAGAAACAAGCCTCCTCTTGAAGAGTGTGTGTGTGTGTGTGTGTGTGTGCCAGTGTGTGTTTATGAGGGAGGTTGGGGGCAAGGCAGGGTAGAGAAAAGAACACGTTTTCTTAACAGAATTAGCGAAAGGATTGCTGGCAGCCCACTTCATGACGGTTGGCAAAGAAAGAACCCATAATTCATGCGGGGATTCTAATGAAGAAGGGTTTGAATTAAAACTGTAGGTGCGTATTTCAGTTGGAAATATTACAGTCATTGCAATGCTCTTTGTAATTCAGTTTCATACTCGGTTTGCTGCAAAAAGGCTTGTTCTTCACAAAGGGGGTGGGGGACGGGCAACAGTGGTTGAGAAACATCAGTGGAGTATTACGTAGGAGCACTGCATGTTTTCTGAAGCTACAAATAATGCTGCAGTTGGGACTGCCTCTTCATTTTTGACGTATGGAACTGAAGACGGTAGTTTTAATTTTGTCCCCTTTCCTGAACAGAGTCCATGTTTAAGAGTATTAAAGCTACTGTGCCACAGCGTGCTTTTGGGGGATTGGTGTAGCACCCAGACATCACTGCAAGTACAATTTCAGACACTCCCCCACACCCCAAAAAAGTTAGGGCAGGGCAGAAAATGCCTTTGAAAGATATGCAGTGCTGTTTCTTCCCAATTAAATTAAGAAGTTGTGCGGATTTTGAAACACTTAGCATTGCAAGGTATCTGAATAAAGGCATTGTTGCCACTGATGATGTTGCAGCTGAGAATAAAGATCACCTGACACTAGAAGATGGAAAGGGTTTCACAGAAGGTCTATGAAAGAGGCTGGGCAAGTGCAGAAGGTGGGAGATGTGAGGCTTTGGCCCTGCCAAGAAGGTAGGCAATGTTGTTAAGCAAGATCTGTGGTTGTGGATGGCCATCGACTAACAGGTTTTGGAATTGGGGAATGAAATAATTCCTCCTCTCAGGGAAGGGCCATTTCTTGCTACGGATGTGTTTTCTTCATCCTCTGCTCAGTTTTTTTCCCCTTTCTCATCTGTAGTAAACCAATCTGCCTTTTAAGTTTACCTAAAATTTTAAAGCTTGCAACTTTATTAATAACTGACCACGTTCTGTATCAGACACATAGGCCTCTCTTTTTGGAAGAGTTCTCCATGACCCCTTCCTTGGCCTGGGTTTGGGAGAAGCTGTTTGGATTTTCCAAGGGCTTTTTTAGCTCCAAATCAGTGAGGGTAAACCAGCGTTTGTGAAAGGGGAAACAAACCTCCAAATGCCTAGCCACTAATCATGTGGCTGGCCCTGAACTAGTGAACAGAAATAAACACACACACACACACACACACACACACACACACACACACACACACACGTACAGATAAGTATTTATATAGTATGCCTAGTGAAAGGCACCACTTTGGCATAATCTTGTGTATTTTATATATACATTTTACACACATACCGATACATCCACACTACACTGTAATACTAAAATTTTGTAATTTATCCTTTCAGTCTCAAATAGAGATCATCGGAATAATACGTGGTCCAGATGAGTTCAGTTTGCATTGTTGTTTTGATCTGCTTGCATCGGTCTGAAGCTCCCCCTTCCCCCTGCTAGCAGTGGGCACATGTTTGCAATGTTGGATGGCTTGTGAAACTATTTTGCCAGTTGTGCATAATACCTAGCAATTGTGGCTATTTGTTTTGTGTAGTGCTATCTGAATGCTTACTGTCTCCAAAATTACAAGTTAGGAAGACCTTTTTAAAAAAATATGAAGTAAATCTATTGACTTTACTTTTTTGCAGTTGCACTGAAGTAAATGAAAGGAGATGGTTCAAACCATATCCATTTTTCCCCCCAATTTGGTTCAAGATTGTTGTTGTTAAATTTAAGACTTGATTCATTTGGCTGATTTGTCCTTTAAAGTTCATTATGGCACAACCTTGATTACAGTAAAGGCTGCTAACCTATTCTATACAAATTATTCATGGTACTGCAGCTTTTTCCCAGTGTTTAGATCACAGCTGTAGAGCCTTATAATACAGTTCATTAAATGATGCCACAAACTCCGACTTCCCACTCTTTATTGCTTCTACTTGTATACAAGCTTGAAGAAAACGATAACTTTCTTTTTCTTCCATGCTAGTAAATACTAGGAACTACAGGATATATTAGAAGTGTTTTGGTCTAATTTCTCAGAGATCCATGCAACATCAGAGCATAAGAGCTGAATCTTCCCTTTGCAGAGGAGGATTATACTATACCAGGAAATAGTATAGCATGGTTTTGGAGCTCTGGATAATAAATGTAAAACCATGTGATAAATATTATTACATAAAATAACTTGCAATGAAACCTATAGAAAATTAATAAAATAAGTATTAGGAGCAAGAGATGGGAAATCTAATTTCATCACAGCAAAGTGCAGGAAACTTACCTGTTCAAGTTGCATAATGTGTTGTTTTTGGTTGAGTTTGATTAGATACCAGATTTCATGAATAAACCACAGTATAGTGAACTACATTAGGTCATGAAAAACATAGCTTCAATTTTAGCAGAATGAGCTTGATTTACCAAGTGAACTATATGTCTAGTTCTTCATAAAGAATGCATTTCTATCAAGCTATCGACAACCCTCAGCCCACCCCATTCCTCTGCTGGATATAAATTATAGTATCTCCAAGGAATTTTATTTTTTCTTTTTCAAAGAACAGGCCTATTAAAAATCATCCATCCATAGGATCCATAGCAAGTCCATTAGAAGAAAAAGTACAGCCAGCCAATCTTGGTAACCAAGAATCAAACACATTTGCTTTTTATCTGTATTTTCCAGCAAAAGTAACTTCCTAATATGGGTGGGCTGTGTTATATTCTGAAAGGAACTATATAGGAACTATTCTGAACATAGTTGTGAGTTTCCAAGCCAAGCTGTTTGTGAGACAGTCATTTGCTTCTTTTAAACTTTTCTATTTCCCTTAACAAGAAGTATTACAAACAAAATTTAAAGGATGAAGCCAGTTTTTAATGAAGTGGTTCTTGTGTGTTTTTCTCCCTTGCATTTTCTTTTGTGGCTATTCTTCGGGCCTTTATTTTTTTTTTCCCAGTGAAGGTGCCAAACCCACTCAGTCCTTTGGCCAGTGGGACAGCCACATATATATATATATATATTTAAAAAATAAATAAATTTTCAGCAGAATTTCAGCGAGGGAGGAAGCAAAACACTACTTTTAAGGTGCATTTTTATTTCTGTCATGAGTTTCCACAGGTATCTCTTCTCTTACCTTATCTTCTGTGGATTCCCTTGTACATCCCTCCCCCAAGTATTTATATGAACACAAAATCATGAGGAATCTTCTGGTAGGCCTCACATTCTGATGCTGAGAAAGCAGACCTACTTATAAAGTAGGTTTAACACAGTTAGTATCTTAAAGCAGACTGTTACGTTGCCCCAGCAGATTATTTTGGACAGGCGAGGCGGAAGATGGTGCTTGTGGTAGCTACCAGCATACTTCAATTTGCACTTTCATGCGGTTTTTCTTTAGATTTCCTTCTACACAGAAGGAAATCAATGTGGTGCTCTTTTAGGACTGGGATTGGGATTATTACTTCTATTCTCCCCCCAGGATTGACACTAGAATTTGAGTTACAGGTAGCCCTTGACTTATTACCACAATTGAGCCCAACGTTTGCTAAGTGAAACATTTGTTAAGTGAGTTGGGCCCATTTTATGACTTTTCTTGCCACATTTGTTAAGTGAATTGTTGCAGTTGTTAAATTAGTAACCTGGTTGTTAAATGAATCTGGGTTCCCCACTGACTTTGCTTGTCAGAAGGTCGCAAATGGCCCCAGGACACTGCAACCATCGATGCTAAGTATGAACCAGAGGCAGCCAGGCAGCCAAATTTTGATTATGTGACCATGGAGATGCTGCAATTGTAAGTGTGAGAAATGGTCCTAAGTCACTTTTTTCAGTACCCTTGTAACTTTGAACAGTCATTAAATGATCTGTTGTAAATCCAGAGCTACCTGTACTCACTTGAATGCATCTCTTTTGGGTTGCCATTGCCCCATCCTGTTTAAGCAGGATGCATTGAACTTACTTAGCTAATCTAACTTTCCTAACTTTGGACAACACATTGTAAATTACACTAAAGAGGTACCTTTCTTCCCCACTCTTATCCTGGGCTGCAATGTGTTTTAGGGAACTGGATGGAATTAAAATTAGAGGAAGGGGAAACTGGTCTGTATTTCCAAGGTCCTAGTTTATTTAGCCTTTGATCATAGAAACCACATCATTTTAAAAGTAGTGGAGCCAAATTGAGGGCATGGTGCTTTCTACCAAGAAAAGGTACATTTCCTATCCTGGACTAAATTCTGTGAATCTACTCTGGTTATTTTAGACGTGTACTGGTTAGCATCTGTGAACTTGAACACACGGTTAAAAACAATGCTTTTGTTTTTAATGGGCAAGAGTAAGAGTGTGAATGCTCTTGTTGTTCTGTATTGTTATAAATTAATATTATGTAACAAGTCAAAAATCTCACTATGAATGCCTGTAAAATGTTTCGTTAGTCTTTACCTCAAATTGTTAAACACTACTGTTAAAAGACATAAGATTTTTTTTTTCATTACATTCATTTTTTAAATTTTCTTAAGAAAATATAATGAGGAAAACCATCTAATCCCTGTGGGATTTGTTTCCCCCAAAATGGTTTATTATTCTGTTGGGATACATTGTCCTCTCTGTATTTCTCCCCCTCACATGCAAACACACTTTTGTATTGTGAAGAGAGAATTTTTAAACGGTACTAAAATTAAGCTTGATCAGAATGACTTTGCAACAGATTACAATAAAGCAAGAGCTTTGGGTTATAAAAATGTATGTTCCGGCAAAATAATGATAGAAAGGAAGGAATAATAATAACCTGAGATGGTCGCCCAGATTAAGAATTTTATTTAATCAGGATAGACAAAAGGCGATCATGTTTTGGATTGTGAATAATCTGGCACCAAATGCATTTGATTTTGCAAATTGCTTAAGCAGATTTGATACTGAGGTGGTGAGAGAGAGAAAGACCACTTCTCTCTTTGGCTATGAAGTTATTGCCCAGAGAATCCTGAGGAATCATTGTTTTGAAGAACATGTTCTGCCTTGTGTAGGTAAAAATATTTTTGCTATGTGTGTGGTAGTTTCTGAAATGCACAAAATTCGAGTGGGATCAGCTTGCCTGCTGCTATAATTTAAGTTGGCCACACTGCATTGAAGTTAGCAATGCAAATTCACCATATCTTTGTTGTGTTTCTTGTTCTTATGTTTGAAAGTGGAAGAGCTAGTGAAGCCAACGACATGCTCTATCATACTGGGGCTATCCCATACACAGTGCTCTTCCCTGCCCACATTTTATCTTCATATTCTGACTTCCTCCTATCCTGTACAGCTAGACCACTGAACACTAGCAAGCTGCTGAATATCCAGAAGCAGCCTGCCTGTAACAGTGTGTGCTTGCTTCCCAGTTAAAATGTATTGTTCTCTCATACCCCACCCCAACTGTTCGAAAAATCATGTGTTTAGTGTAAGTACGTACCAGTGTCCCCTCTCTGCTACTCAGAATATAACTTTCATTCTTTCCAGCCAGCCCATTCCATTTTAAAACAAATATTGTTGTACAAAGTACCTGTACTAAAAAATAATAATAAACTATTTACACGGTCTTTAACTTTGTGTCTCAGGACTTTTTGGATTACAGTACTCATCATTGGGGAAAAGTGCTTAATGTACGTACGGGGGTGTCAACATCTGCATTACAGTTATTGCAAAATTGGGAAGTTTTTAGCTTTTTCAAGAAAATATTGTGGGTTGTAGTTACAACTTGAAGGCCTATCTTACCATTCTTACTACTCATAAAAGTCCCACATCACATCCCAAGTCCTGCTAGGCAATCGAGGATAGGCTGAAAAAGAAATCTGTGGTCCTTTATGAAGAATACCTGATAACTTCCGAGAAACTTATAGTAAGATAATTGCTGTGACATGAATGTTGGGAACCTGCAGGCATAAGCTCCCATAAAACAGGGATGCTCCAGGTAGAAAATTTTTCTACAACGCCATGTTATTGTTTGTGTATACATTGAAGAATGAGCCCAGTTTTATCTTTTCTCCCAAGATTTGGGCCAATAATAAAGGTTAAATTAGAAGCTGTTAACAAAGAAAGTTTGGGCCAGTCATTCTCCTTCAGCCCAATGCACCTCACAGGACTGTTGTGGAGAAATTAGGAAGAGGGAGATGTGTTGGATATGTTCGCTGCCTTGAGTTATATATAAAATGCTCTTGGTATTACTAGTCTGCTTCCGGGTGCAATTCAAGGTGTTGGTGATCACCTTTAAAGATCTTCATGGCACAGGCACAGGTTACTTGAGTGACAATCTCACCCACTGGGATTGGCCCGTACCACTTGTACTGACAGAGGAGGCATGCTGTTGGTCCTGTCAGCCTGATCATTCTGGCTGGCAGCATACAGGACACAGGTGTCAAATTCGATTTCATTGAGGGCCGCATCAGGGTTGTGTTTGACCTTGGGGGGCTGGGGTGGGCGTGGCCAGCATGATCAGGGGGTGCCTGTGATGGTCCGAGCACTCTGCCAGTGAAAACGGGCTCCGGAGCTCAATTTTCAGCTGTGATGACCTCCTGCAACCCTCTGCCAGCGAAAACGGGCTCCTGAGCTCTGATTTTGGCTGGGACAGCCTTCTGCCACCCTCTGTCAGCTAAAAAAGAGCTCAGGAGGGCCACGCACGGCCCTCGTGAGTTCCGTTTTCACTGGCAGAGGCACTGCAAGCCGGTCCTTCACTGTTTCCAGGGTAGCCCCATGGGCCATATCTTAAGGACTCCATGGGCGGGTTATGAGTTTGACACCCGTGGTCCAGGAGGAGGGCCTTCTTTGCCATAGTTTCTGCCTTCTGGAACATCTTGCCCCTCGATGTGAGGTTGGCCCCAACTCTCCTATGTTTTCGTAAGGGCCTAAAAATGAGGCTGTGTCAGTTGGCTTGGGGCCCCAGGGGGGAGCAGCGCAATGGAGGTGGTTGATTAAGTAATAATAGATCCCCCCCCCAACCCTCCTCATGTGTCTTTGGTTTTAATGTTTGATTTTAACTTTTTGTTTTAAATGTAACTGTGAGCCATTGTGGTAAGGTGGGCAGCCAATACATTTTATAAATAAATAAATATCCCTCAACTTACACTTCATTTAGTTACAGTGTAAGTTACAGTGACAGGCCGAAGTTACAGTGATAGTGAAAAAAAGAGGCTTACAACTGGTCCTCACATTTGGGACTGTCAGAGCATCGCCATGGTCGTGTGCTCAAAATTTGGGCACTTGGCAACCAGCATATATTTTACAATGGTTGAAATATCCTGGGGTCACATGATTGCAATTTTCAGCCTTCCCATCCAACTTCCAGCTAGCAAAATCAATGGGGGAAACCAATTTGCTTTAAAAAAGTGCCCTTCACTTAACAATGATTTGCTTAACAGTTGTGGCAAAAAATATCACTTAGCAACCACCTTGCTTAGCAATGGGAATTCTGGTTCCAATTGAGGTTGTAAGTCAACAGCTACCCTCTATTAATTACTTGACCACCAAACAGGGGTTTGCAAGCAAAGCATATGTTACGTTATAGTGGATCAAATGAGTGGCATTTCCAAATAATAGCATAAAGTGTGAAAAAAATACTGTTGCTCCTGGAAGAGTCACAATGCTTTTTTTTTTGCTAGTCTGCTCAGAGGTTTAATAGGAAACGGTATCATTTGCATTATCACTAACAAAATTCCCGTTATGACAAACGTAATCTCAAACGTTTCTCATTTTCAAGCTTTTGCTGTTTGCTTCTTTTAAAACTTTTGAAGCTGGTTTAGTTTATATTTTATAATGTTATAATATATATTATAAATATGTAAGATAAATATCGTTATATTTTATGAATTAATTTAATCAAGAAATGGTGTAAGATTCTGGGTTATGATTGTGGGTAGGCAATAATTTAACATATTGTGGAAATTCAGCCTTTTCTTAGTACACTTGGTTACTGGATCAATACATTAAGATCTAAAATAGTTTATTTGTTGGATAGGGCATTTCATGTAAATATATCAGTTACAAAGGAAAACACAGCCAGATAACACTCGGTAGGAATTATTAAATGTTCCCTGATCTATCATTTCTCCCAATGCGTTTAATTGACTATTTCCACACATATAACAGCAGCAGCACATCTGGCACAATAGAGGAATGTAGATATTTCAGCACAGACTCAAGCAGGGCAGTTCCTTTTGCTGATGGTCCAGTAGGAGAGAGGAGGCACACTTCAACGAAGAGACACAGCTTTCTAGTCTTCCACCTTGTTCCATCGTGAAAAAGCTTCCTGCTGCTCATTTACTTATTAAAGCTGGAGCATCAAGCACCAACTCAAGGACAGAAAAAGACACTGAAGCTTCCACTTGTAATAGAGGGAGAATGCTGGTAGGTTTTTAGAAGCTTGCAAATTCATCCTGGAATCTGTGAAAGATTTTTTTTAAAAAAGTGGATAGAAAAATGGTTTCTGTACTTCTAACCACCCTGTTACAATTTTCATGTTCTCCTCTGCAGTTTTTTTTTTGCATGTCCTTTAGCCCAGTAATACAAAAGCAACAATTTTATACAAGTGACTGGGATAAATTTTACAGCTGCTGTGCAGCTCCTTACTGTCTCTTTCCATACAGGTAGTCCTCTAGCTACGACCACAATTGAGCCCAAAGTTTGATAAGTGAAACATTTGTAAGTGAATTAGCCCCATTTACAACTTTTCTTGCCATATTTGTTAAGTGACTAATTGCATTTGTTAAGTTAGTAACACAATTGTGAAGTGAATCTGGAATCCCCATTGACATTGCTTGTCAGTAGGTTGCAAAAGGGGACCACATGACCCCAGGACACTGCAACAGTCACAAGTGTGATACAGTTGCCAAGCATCTGAATTCTGATCACGTTGTCATGCCTCTGGTGGAGACTGACTGAGGGAGAGGAGGAACAGCCGACAGGGAGTGAAAGTGTGGCTCTGGAAGTTGTAGAGGAGGTTGGGGAGGGGCAGAGGCTGGCTGGGCAGTCAGAGGAGGACCCGGGCCCATCCCCTATCCATCCTAGGGCACACAGGGAGGAGAGGATAAGGGAGAGTTGTGGTCTACTCTGAAGGAGAGGGCCTTGATCCTCTTCATGGGCTGCAGCTGTGACAACTGAGTAAGAGGACTGACATGCGTACAGGTGAACGCTGGAAACAAAGTGTGGAAATATCTCTAGTTTATAGTTCCTCTCTGAGTTTGGCGTCCTTCCCAGTGTATGTTATCTGTGGACATCCTCCAGCCCTTATCTTGCCTGGTTTGTATTACTTTTTCCCTTCTTGTAACTGTTTGGGAGTTTTTTGTCTTCTGTCAAGAATATTCAGAGCTTGGAAGCAAAGTGAAGGAATAAAAGGGGCTCCACCTGTTTTCTGTGACTGTGTTAGTTTTATATCCCACCCTGGGTCATCACACACGTGACCATGGGGATGCTTCAATTGTCATAAGTGTGAAAAATGATCATAAGTCACTTTTTTCAGTGCCTAACTTTGAACAGTCAGTAAATGAACTGTTGTAAGTTGAGGACTACCTGTAATTGGTGAGGTGGCTGGTTTGCAGGCTAACATACTAATCAACTTTATTGCCCACCATGTCTTTAGCCATAATCTATCACAGACTGTGGTAGGACTGCCTTTTGCAACAGGTGGAAACAGTGCTTGTAGTACATGCTGCTTTATAGTCACCAGCTGTGTTCACTGTGAAATGTGTTTGAATATTAGTAGCTTGGGTTGGTAGCTAGACTGCTGGTTTGAGCTCCGAGCTTGGCAATTTGATTGCAAACATTGCATCACCATTCAAGGAGACATCCTCAGTGTGCACTGACGAGTCTCCTCGAAGGGTGACAAAACGTTTGCAACCAAATTGCCAAGCTCAGAACTCAGACCAACAGCCTGTGTTCACTATTTTTGAGATTTATACTGTAAAGCAATCACAAATACAACATACAATATGTCTTAGCAGTTTCGGTTCTATTCAGTTATTACGGTTAGTGCATGTTTGGTCTTGCCCAGGGCTGCCCATTTTAGTTCAGTGGCACAGGAAATTGAACCTAGTATGCCATATAGTTTGGAAATGCCAGATTCTTATGGCACTCACCCAATTTTTTAAAATAAAGTTTCAGGCAATGAAAAGTAGATGGCTGCAGCTGCTGCAGGACCAGTCACTTGTAAATGTCTTCATTGTCAATCTAACACTTGCTCAAGAGTTCTTCATTCTCAACCAAAACCATGGAATAAGTAATATTTTAATGAAAATTAAAGACAGTTCCACATATGTATCATCTGACAAAAGAGTTGGGTTTCATTGCTTTTGTCACCATTGTATCCCAGTCACATTTTCCCACGAACTTTCACAAATTCAGCTACCTGTGTTTCAGGAGAGGCTTCTAGGGCAGGAAACTATCTGTAGGGCTGTTTACATTCAAAGCGGAGGAAACATCCAGAGTAGTGGAAACAGCTGTTTCTTCAGGAGCTGGTAGGTAAAATGCAATAAAATATAAACGTGTCATTCTTTTTCTTTCTCCAGCAATCCCTTCTGCTTGCTTGCTTTCAATATGGGATGATTGCCTCTTCCACAAATGGGCAAACTTGCCTTCTACTATTTGTTCTGTGTTTATTTATGAGCATCTATGTGTAACTCCAGCTTCTTACTGTTACATATGAAGTCAAACAAAATTAGCTGAAATGTGCAACAGTCCTCAGAAGCAGTGAACAGGAGCTTTTGCACAAAGTAATTCACTGAAATATCTGAAGAGCGCTTGGACAGAGAAAACTGCATTTTGAGGTGGTCAAGCCAAACTAGGGATTACCATGGAAGCAATAGTACTTGGACTTTATATATACTGCTTTACAGTGCTTTACAGCCCTCTCTAAGTAGTTTACAGAGTCAGCATATTGCCCCCAACAATCTGGGTCCTCATTTTACCCACCTCGGAAGGATGGAAGGCTGAGTCAACCTTGAGCCTGGTGAGACTCAAAACTGCCAAAATGCCAGCAGCCGGCAGTCAGCAGAAGTAGCTTGCAGTACTGCATTCTAACCACTGCACCACCACGGCTCTTAAGAATGAACAAGACTAACTTGTGTGAGGGGAGAGAAGCTAGAGATCTGTGCATCCTTACTGAATTACAACTCCCATAATACTTTGGGGAAATGCTCCAGGGATATATGAAGTCAATAAAATTGATGGGTTGGCTTTCTTCACATGCAGAGTTCAGTTATTTTTTGAAACTAGGAATCAAGTACCAAAAAATACAGTTACCAAGGCTGATTAGCTTACCTTTCTCATTTGCAAGCTGGGCCTTCTTTCTGACAGCCCTCTTACCTAAGAATTCAAAGACAGTGGTAACATATGAAACTTTTAATATTTAGAACTAATTTTATTTCCTGGGCAAAAGACATGGAAAAGGATATAAAGTATCTACTAAAAAATTTGAAAAAAGAAAAGGGCCATGGATTTCAGTATCCCATAGATTTAATTCCAGTTTCTGATCTCTACTTTGTGTCATTTTAGTTGTCTTTTCTTCATGATGAGCATTTGATTTGAAAATTACACTTATGCACAGAAAGCATTATGCCATATTGTCTATTATAAAATAACATTCTGTAGTCCATTATAAAAGTGAAATGTGGCAGAGGCTGAGTAATTTTAACTATAGATCTCACCTAAATGCCATGTTTCCTTGCCCTGATCATTCCGTTAATAAAACTGCAATTATTTGTTCTCCATTTTAACACTTTAATTCATTACTCTTACTATACCTAAGCCTAAGTACATAATTTGGTTTCTTTCCAGTCCCCACCCCACCCCACTTTCTGTGTTGAATCTCAGGCCTTGTTAAAGCATCATGTACAATAATTGTACAGCCAATATAAGAGACAACGTGATGGGAAATTTAAGTGGATCAAAGTTTTCCAGAAGGGTTTTGGGGTGGAGGGGTGAGTTCAAATCCATGATAATGGAAATTCAGCTAAAATTATCAAGATTTATATCCCACATTTATTTTGTACAATTCAAAGCAGACTGGCCCAAAGTCACCCCGCTGGCTTTTATGCCTAAGGAAGGACTAGTATTCACAGCAACCTAGTTTCTAGATCAAGACCTTCACCACTGCATCAATTTGATTATTATGATATTGTTATGTATAGTCCCCAAAGTGGTCAATACAGCATAGGTATTAAGCATTGTTAAGGGGTCTTTTTAGGGAAAAAAGGCTTCTTTTTGAAAATAGATATTTATCAAAACAAGGATTACCAAAATGGACACACATTTATGTGGGAGGTGGAGGAAGATGGAAGGAAAAGGAGGAGGAGGATCATGCAAGAAAGTAACAGTTTCTGAAAATGATTTTTCAAAAGTTTATTGCTAATAGCATCAAGACTTACAATAAACGATACTTGAATGCATTAAAAGAAAGATGTTGAAAAGCAATTTGTGATTGAAGTTACATTTTTCAGGAAGGCAGATAGTTCTCACAGGAGATAACATTGAGCCTTGGTGCAAAGTGGCTAGAATGCAGGCTAACTGTGCCCACAGTCAGGAGTTTGATCTTGACATGCTCAAGATCTTCCATCCTTCCGAGGTCGCTAAAATGTGGACCCAGACTCTTGAGGGCAATATGCTGACATTGTAATCTGCTTGGAGATTAATCTGTAAAGCACTATGGGGTGATATATAAAAATCCCATGCTCTGTTTAACAACTTTCACAATCGCTTAATGACCAAAATAGGGAGGTGAGAAATTGTGGTTGCTAAGTGAGGGGATCACAATGTCTTTCTTAACAACCAGTACAACTTATGACCATTATGGGCAGCCTCCATTACAGTCATAAGTCAAGGACTACTTGCATATAGCTACCAATCTCACAAACATGACTTTGGGCAGCATAAACCACCACAACAGTTAAAAACTCCCTAGCAGTCAATTAAAACTAAAATAAATAGATAAAACCCTAGAAAGTGAGAGAACAAACCACACTCAATCTTATTCAGCCACCTGGGATCCCCAAAGCTGGTGAAAAAAGGGACTTCTGGAAAGCTAACAGAGATGGGGCTAATCTCACCTCAGGGATGATGTTCCAGGAGGTGGTAGGCCCACTGCCTAGGTCTGTCCTGCCAGATGGAACTCCTTTGGAGATGGAACCCATCACATATCCCTCCTGTGCATTTACAATGGGACATTTTGCTCCAGATGAAGCTTCCAGAATACTCTTCAAGAGTACCCCCATGTAGGACCCATTTCAGTAATCCAAACGGGAGGCGACAAAGGCATAAATGGCTGTGAGCAGGACCTCCCAATCCAGGAACAGGTGCAATTGGCACATCACACAAAGTTTTACAAAGAGCCTTCTGGCCACAGTGCAACCTGCTATTTGAGGAAGAGCCATGAGTCCAACAGGACCCCAGTCTAGGCACAAGGTCTATATGGGACAGTGCAACTTTCTCTAGAACCAAAGATAAAAGGTCCCTGGAACCTGGAGGCCCTACAGTCCAAAACATTTGGTCTTACACAATTGAGTCTGGTTTTTCCTCATCCAGATCCCAGAGCACCAAGATGGAACCCCCATGGCCTCCCTCAGGTACCCATTGCATCACACATGAGATGACACTCTACAGTATCACTCCATGGCATGACTCAGTCCAGGTGTACATAGCTGGATGTCATCAGCATACTAATGACGCTTCAACCCAACCAATGGATGACTGTGGCTTTCCTATAGCTGTTAAAGAGGAAATGAGACAGCACTGAACCCTATGGCAAAGCCAGCTGGGTGGCCTTGAGTCATTCACTCTCTCTCAGCTCTAGGAAGAAGGTAAGGGCAAACCACTTCTGAAAGATATTGCCAAGAAAACTGCTGGGACCTGTCCAATGATTATTGCATGAACTACATCACACCTTTTCTGCTCTATCCTCCAAACTGGTCAAAGCCATTTGCTCCTGCATTTGGACAAAAATGTTGCAACATTTTGTGTGATGATAGTGGGACGTGAAATACAGGTAGTCCTCAACTTACAACCATTCATTTGGTGATCAAAGTTACAACAGCACTGAAAAAAGGTGGCTTATGACCATTTTTCACACAACCATTGCAGCCTCCCCATTTCATATCACAATTTGATCCTTGGCAACAGATTCATATTTATGACAGCTGCAGTGTCCTGAGGTAATTTTTTGTGACCTGACAAGCAAAGTCATTCGGGAAGCCAGATTGACTTAACAACCTTGTTACTAAGTTAAGTGCAGTGACTCACTTAACAACTGTGGCAAGAAAAGTCTCAAAATGGGGCAAAACTCAACTGTTTCACTAAGCAACATAAAATTTTGGCTCAATTGTGGTCATAAGTCAAGGACTGTAACTTCTAACCTACCTCTGTAAACTGGCCAATTGACTGCTTGTCAGTTACAATTTAATTTTTATCTTGAATGTCTTGGAGTGGTTTTAGGTTGCTATGCATGTGAATAGTTACATATGAAGCAGGGGCATCCTTTAATTCTTTAATGAGATTACTATTATTTTATTGTTTAGTATTGATAAGTATTTAATCTAACTGGTCTCTGGTTATAATAAAGTATATTTTTTTACATGACAGTAAAACTATTATTGGATTTCTACTTAGTTTTAGTTAAATAGCTTAACAGTATCTTAAATTTTTATATTGAACAATATTTAATTTATTCAGTTCTGTTTGAACCAATGGATAGACTTTCTAAAAGCATTTGAAAATATGTCTCATTAGAGCAGAGGTGTCCAACCTTGGCAACTTTAAGACTTGTGGACTTCAACTCCCAGAATTCTGGGAGCTGAAGTCCACAAGTCTTAAAGTTGCCAAGGTTGGACACCCCTGCATTAGAGCTTCTTGAGGAATTTATGTAGATTGATATTGAGGATACACCAGGAAACAAATGTTGCAGCTTCGTAATCAGGGTTGTAAGATTATTGCAATTCCGGGGACACTTTTCCTATCTGTCATCTCAATTCTAAGAGCTTGAAACATCAATCATATGCAGCAGCCATAAAATATATATAATCTATATTGGGATTCATTTTTTTCTACAAATCTAGAATACAATTACATTTAGTCTACTCCCTAAAATTCTGATAAACGCATCACCAAAAAAGCCAAGAGCTGGAGCTATTTCTATAGGGAAAATGTTTATGTTTTGGCTTTTCAATACTAATAATAGCAAAGAAATAGTAGAGTTGTATAAAATTATGTAGAGAAACTAGGAATGGATCTCCTGTATTTATAATACTATTCAGCTCATAAAAAATATTGTCTGGAAGTTCCCGTCAGAGGGGTATGGATGTAATAGTGCTCATTTAAACTTAACCCTTAATGGGCCTTCATTGTCCTCTGGTTGACCATTCTGGGAAACACCAGGTTGAACTAATAAGCCCTTTATCTGGTCTACTGTGATACTTTTTGTCGCAGACTTTGGCAGCAACCAGAAGAAACATGGAATAATGTTAGGAATAGCATTGAAAACTGTCCTTCTACATACGCGTCTGAGAATGAATGAACCAGAGGCCACCAGCGAGGGAGATGCCAATGATGAAAGCAGAAAAGGCTATGCCAATGACAGCTGGGAGCTCCAGAACTGGGGGAGGAGTAGCTGCAGAAAAGTTGGAAATACATGGAATTGAGAAGTCTTGTTCCCTTTGCCCAATAAAACCAGTTGCAAAATATGACACAAGTCCCAAAAATTAAAGATTGTAAGAAAAGGAAACCCTAAAATCAAGATTCCATTCATTTTAGTTCATTTCTTGAAACAAAGAGGAAGATTGTTCTAAATCTTGCAGAAGAATCATCTTATTTCAAACTCATTAGATCAAAGTTGGGCAGATTTCAGAGTTGGAGCTATGTTACTTTGGGATACCTGGCAAATAATGCATATACTTTGAATTAAAGAATTATAAGCCAGCTAATATTTTCCAATATGATAATTAAGTGTATACAAAACCCATTTGTATATGTTCCGGAGAACTTTGGAATATCTGGTTCTTTCTCTGCATACAGACATTTTGGAATGGCAACAAAACCAGGCTGTGTGTGCAATTCAATCCAGTGAAATCGCTACTTTTATTAACAGGCTATTTACAAATTAAATAGGTGTCTTAAGTTGTTTGGAACTGCCAGAAGTGTTGTTTATAGTGAATTTATATTTCAGAATTCTCTTTATTTTACTGTTGCTCCTGTTATTTTTGCAGTTCTGCTTTTTCTTAAATATTATGAGCCCTGGTGGCAGAGTGGTTAGAATGGAATATTGCAAGCTAATTCTGCCCACAGCCAGGAGTTTGATCCTGACTGGCTCAAGGTTGACTCAGCCTTCCATCTTTCTGAGGTTGGTAAAATGACCCAGATTGGTGGGGTCAATTTGCTGACTCTGAAAACAGCTGACGTGTTCTGTAAAGCACTATGGAGCAGTATCAATCTATTGCTATTGTATATTCTTCACTGTTTATCTCTAAGCTCTTCCTTTCATTTTCTCCCTCATTAATAGATCTAACTTTGTTTATATTTATTTCCTTCCTCCTTGAGAGAGTTTTTTTTAACTTTCAGATAACTAAACAGGTTTTAAACAATTCTCTTCTTCCTTCCTGTCCTGGGTAACTCATTGTAACATTAAAGAGGACTTATAGATAACATTATAGAGACAAAGAGTTTTCAGCTGCTTTATCTTCTGTTATTCTCTGCTCTCTTCTTTCCTTCTCTCTGGGATCTTATGATCATAACTCACCTCGCCCCCACTGTCTTTTCCCCTGGAATCCCAACCATCAAATATTTCTTCAGAAGTCTTTGAAGTGTCCTTTGAACTCCATTGTCATCTAGGTGTGTTATAACTTCTCCTGTGATGGACAGTGCTTCCATGTTCTTGTCAATTTTTGTCTTTCACCTCTCCCCCAAACGACAGCTAAATTTCTAATAGCAATGTCTTTTAGACTCTATGTCCCTGCTTATGTGTGTGATTCATGCAACTGGGGTCAACATGACAAGAACAAATTGGATAACCTTGGACATTCTGTCACGGGAGATACCTAGAGAGTGATCGGGAGGAGATTCAGTACAGTCTGTTCCTGAATCAGTAAGTTTTGCACATCCCTAATGACAAGTAACTGGAATCATATTGTTAAACAAGTGGAAGCTTTCTTTCTTTTCTTTTTTCTTTTGCACTATTCTGGAAATAGAGCCAGATGTATATGCCTTGAAGAAGTAGAAAAACATTGTAGGAGGAGTCATTGATCTGGCCATATTTGAGCCTTTCATGATACTGATGTGCCGCCACCCCTCCTCTCCTTGCTTCTTTTGCTATATTCACAAGACATTTGCCTTCACTTTGTGTCCAACTCATATCTGGGGCTGCTTAAGGTCATCCTTAGATGTTCTGATATTAAAGCAGTGTTTTGTCCTGTAAGCAGCAAAAACACCATGACAGTCATGGGTACAGTCTCATGTATTTGGTTGACCATCTTATTGATAGGTCTATCAGGTGAACCACAGGAAGGCAGGATCAGTCTGGTGTCTTTTTTTCTTTTTTATTAATTCTTAATCCTCAGTTCAGAGACCTGAATCTGCCTGAATTGGACTTGCTCAGCAGTGATGGGGAACTACAAGATGAAATATGTGAGAGAAATTGTTCTCTTTCTCTACGGCTTCACAGCACAGCCCCTAACCATGCATGGTACAATAGCAGAGCAAACAACAGCTACAAGTCTGTTGTAAGTCTAACATGCTGAGTTGTGTTAGAATTAGCTTGCATAAGTGACTTTCTACAACTGTCTGTAGTTTGCTTGATCTAAGCCTGAGGATTGGCTAGGAAAACCAGCAGATAAAACAGCCCCTCATCCCAATCACCCTGCTTGGGTGATCTCCACTCTGGGAGAGGCAACAAATGGAAGAGAAGGAAGCTCTGGCACATAGTTAAACCTGTAGTGTAGCCATTTGTCAAAATAATTGCCAGTTGTGATAGTACTGTGATTGGCAAATGCTTTTCCTGTCAGCTGGTGACACTGAGAAAGTGCGAGAAGGGTGGTCTTCTTTGTGTGGGAAATGACATTGTCCTCTGGGCTTCAAGCCATGGTTAGATGCAATGGGGAACAGCAATGGGAACAGCAAGGCTTATCTGCTGTTATCACAGATGGGAGTAGAGCATTTTAACTGAGCTATGGAAAAAGCCCTGGGACCTCTTCTAGAAGAGGAGACTGCATTCAGATTCAGACCTGACTCTATTCTCCGTATCCCAGGAAACATGCTTAAAGAAATAAGACCTCAGCACATACTCACTCAGAACTTGCTGTGCCTTATGCAACTTTCTGGCATCCTTTGCTTTTCCTTGTCGGTTAGCCAAGGAATTATCTATGGCAAAGAATGTAAGAGTCAAGGAGGGAGAGGCTGACAAAAACATAATCTGGAAATGGCTTCCATAAAACAACTGCATATTTTTGAGTTACATTGGCCCACCCAATCACTGCTATGTAATAAAATAGACAACTAGTAAGTAATAGGCAAAAAATGTTGCCCATAACAAGAGGTGAGAAGATGCACAAAAAAGTGTCATATATCCCTGGATTTTCATTCATATCCTGGAAAGGGACTGCACCAGAGGTGGTATTCAGCAGGTTCTGACCAGTTCCGGAGAAACCAGTAGGAGAAATTTTGAGTAGTTTGGAGAACCGGTGGTTACCTTCCCCCAGGAGTGGGGAGGAAATGGAGATTTTGCAGTATTCTTCCCCTGGAGTGGGATGGGAATGGAGATTTTACAGTTTTCTTCCCCTGCCACGCCCACCAAGCCACACCCACCAAGTCATGCCACGCCCACCAAGCCACACCCACAGAACCGGTAGTAAAAACATTTGAATCCCACCACTAGACTGACTGCACAGACTGTCTTGCCCAAATGCAGGCACTGAAATCTCTTCGGAGCGAGGGATACCATTCTCCAAAGCCAACGGCCAAGCGCCTACCTGGCTCCAGACTAGGAGAAGCAGGTCTGAGTGGAGTTTCCATGGTCACCATGATGGGCTTTGTGATGGTACGCTGGAAGTCCCCACTGGCTGGCTCTTCTCTCCTGCAGGCTTTGTTCCCAAACTGGCACTGAAACAAAAATCTGTCTCAGAGAGTTTTTCCTTTGCGAGGGGAAGAAGTCTGAACCAAATACCACTATCTTTTCCAATAAGATCATGCATCTAATTTCCCAAATAAGTCACATTAAGCAATTCTGTGCAGAAACTCATCTGAGATAAATTAAGAAGCTTCCCTTTTGCCTGGTCCCCAGGTTCCCAGTCGTTCTTTAGCACTGCTTTTCCACCCTTTGGACAAAACACACGCCGTAGCTCAGTGATTGAGCACCTGATTTGTGTACAAAAACTCCCAAGAAAGGTGGAAGAAACATGGGTGTCTGATACCCTGTCTATCCAAATGGTCAACCCAAAGCTTGACGAGTAGTCTGACCTAAGACATCTTATGTCAGGACGGCACCAGAGGCAGAAAGTGAGCCTTTGCACAGAGCTGCTGGACAACTGTTAAAAGCCCATTTCCCTGCTCTAAAAGGCTATAGAGACCTTGGGGATTGAACCGCTAGTTTTGCCAGAGTCCTGAGGTTCCCTGCTGCAGAGCATCAGGCGGCAATGCAAGAAATGAATGGAGTCATTGGAGCGAGGCTGGAGTACAAAACTCAGGCGTTGGCGATGGTGGTATCTTGGGCGCGATGTATGGTCCTGAACTGCCTGTTGAGGTGCTAACAGGTTGACATGGGAATCAGCTGCACAGCCATGCTGGATAAGCAGGTGTGAAGATATCACTGAAGAATCCGAAGAGGCAGAGATGAAGCATTGTTGGATGGTGAAGCCAAGACAGAAGTGAAATGTGACCAAAGATGCCTAGAGGACAAAAAGAAAACCCAAACACCCCACCACAGAATTAGCAAATCCAAATGCTTGATCTGGAATGGAGTAAGGAACAGAGGAAGCATCATGGGGGGGTCTACCTGCGGGAGCTGGAGCCCAAATATATTCAACCGTACGGATTTTTCTTGATGGTTATCATAAACATGGATGTAGTTGTTTTCAGAGGTGGTATTCAGCAGGTTCTGACCAGTTCTAGAGAACCAGTAGTGGAACTTTTGAGTAGTTCAGTGAACTGGCAAATACTACCTCTGACTGGCCCCACCCCCATCCATTCTCTGCCTTCCGAGTCCCAGTTGACTGGCTGAACCTTCTTTTGTTGCCCTGCACAGGAGAATGAAGCTGGAAAGCAGGTTAGTAGGGTGGGGAGGGAATGGGGATTTTACAGTATCCTTTCCCTGGAGTGGGGTGGGAATGGAGATGTTACATTATGCCACGCCTACCAAGCCACGCCATGCCCACCAAGCCAAGCTATGCCCTCCAAGCTGCGCCACACCCACCAAGCCACACCCACAGAACCGGTAATAAAAACATTTAAATCCCACCGCTGGTCCTAAAAAAACTCTCCCAAAAATGCTCCCTGGCCAACTAACAGTTTGTACTATTTCCTTGTAAAAACTGGGCAGTCTCAACAACCATGTTTGGCAAAATGAAGGCCCATTTACTGAAGGCTTTCCAATAGGGGATACCCAACCTGAAAACTCACTTCCTCTTCCATAACTGCTACCAGAAAGAAAAACAATATTCACTCAATTGACCAATCCTTGAAGGAGCCTAGAAGTAGTGTCTAATTAACATAGTCTTTGAGTTCTTCTTTCCTGAGTTTTGGGGGAAAGAGTCAAACATTCCAAAACTGACATCCTCTAGATATGTAGGATTTTGAAACCCATCATCTCAAGTAGTATTTAAACTGGTACTTTAAAAGAAGTAAGCAGACTTTGGCCTAGTTAAGGTGAGAGATGCCGGGACTGCTGGCCACAACCCCTGAAATAAGACAACTTGGAAATGTAAAGTGGCCTTGCACTATTTAAGGGACATGAAATTTGAATTTTTGCACCAAAAGTCAATATTTTTTTTTCAAACTGAATATCAGTATTACTTCCACAAAGACCCGGCTGTTGGCAGAGACGATACAGAATCCTGGTTGCTTGACAAAAGCCTCAGAGCTGGACACTTCTAGGCTGAGCAGGACATGGTGAAAAGGATGGTGTGGTAACTTTTTGCCTTCTGAGGAAAATGCCTGGGTTGAAGTAGAAAAGACAAGGGAAACATAAGGAAAGAAAGAGGCTTATATTTGGCACAAGAGTTGAATTTTAAGAATCAGAGACCAACTGCATCATTTTTGCCCACATAAAGTCTGAATGTCAACATGCTTTATTTTTTTCTAAATCTCAGATAAGTAGTACACTGAAGCCCCAGTCTGTTTGCTATCAGTTTGTGCCATTGGTATACCAACAGTCAGGGTAAGCCATAGCTCTTCAGGAAAGACCAATGACGTTTGAAAGGGAAAGGAAATGCTGTAACTTTTTCCAAAGCAAGTTCAGCAGTGGACTACTAGCAGTATCTCCCTCCCTCCCTCCCTCCTTTCCTTTCCTTTCTCAGGTGAATTTGATTTTAAAAATCTGCCGGTTTCCCATTCTAACCCAAGTAACAGGGATACAGTAGATACAAAAAAAAAGGAAGATGCCTATTGGTGGAGTCAGTGGAGAAGGCTCATACGAAAGGTCTTTCTCAAGAGCGTCCTATGACTGATTGGCACTTGTTTGCCTGGCCCAGAGGGATAAAGCATCAGGGGTGGACAGCAATCAGGCACTCTGGAAACTGTTATTGAGACAAAACACTTGGCCAGTATTGTTGTCAAAACTAAAGGACAAATTGAAATTGTTACAGCAATTTCTTGTCATCTCCAGCTGGATTCAGCGGTGGAGGTAAGCAGCATGGAAGAGCCCTAGGACTGATTGTATCTGATGCTGTGTATGTTGCACTAATGAAAACATAACTCATCAGTGAAACGCTGCTTCCAAATGGTAGAATTCTGGGGTGGAGAAGGCATTTGGTTCAATTCCTCCATTTTCAACAGTGGCCCGGAACCATTTGGCCACTAGGGACCAGTTCTGGGGAGAGGTGTTTTCCTGCAGCCCAGAGGGGGCGTGGTTCGCATGCTGCCTGCATCCTACAGATCGGGCTCCACCTTGTTTGTGCAGCCCAGTTTCTGGCATGCTGTGGCCCGGTGCTGGTCCATGGGGATCTCTGATTTAAAAAGACTCTTGGGTGACAAACCTGGGAGAAACCTTGGCTCTCGTATTCTACTTGTTTATTTATTAAATTTGTTTGCTGCTCATCTGGCTGCAAGGCTTACAACATATAAAAGCAATACAACTGTAAAAAAATAATGTATGAGGGTGGGGGAGATGGGGTCTTCTACTGGTCCGTCAACCACCTCCATATACTTAACTGCTATTGTCAAGCAGGGCAAGAAGTATTGTTGGAACAGAAAATCACCAAGCATGCAAGCTAAGGCTTAAAAGATTTCATGTGAAGTGTTCTTTAGCAATCAGACCAGAAATTTATTGCAGTGTGCGCTAAGATTACTTCTTTGTGCCTGGTTGTGTAGTAGCTTTGTTTCAGCAAAGACCTGGCACTTTCTCATAAAGTAGCTGTTTACTCATTCTATTCAGCCATTCCTCCCAACAAAGGTTCAGCTGGCCAGTTGCATCACTCTTTGAAATAGCTTCCTGTGTTCATGCCATCTCTTACAAATGGTGTTCTTGGTGGCAGGTGAAGGTCTGCCCATTCACCCTTCCACATGAAATCTTATTCTAGGAAACCTGTTCTCTCTCCAAGCCTGGAACCATCTCAGCCAGTTTACTTACTTCCTTTATGTCCTTCTTTTTAGGCATGAGGTTCTGGATCCCATAGCATAAATCAGATCCAACTTTGTCTGTTTCAGGGGCAGGCAAGGTAGCGAGAACAGAACCGCCCTCTTCCTTCTGCTTCGCTTCCCAGCCTACGGTGACAGTCTCTGGAAAGTGCTGTCTCCCAACTCCAAGTTTGGAGGGAAACAAGAACATAGGCCCAAAGAGTTCATGATTCTCTGGAGGACCAGGAATGGCCTCTGCAAAGAGAGAGGGGTGGGAGGCAAAACCCGCGTGAGATAAGAGTACAAACAGACAGCAGCTTCTTGTTAGTAGGTGAACTCTTTCCTGTATTACTGAAGTCATAGTGGTTTGAGTTTCAGTATAATATGATTCTCTCCTCTATAGATTCAGTAGGCTCAGTGGAACAAAGAGGTGGAATCATCTCTCCGTACAGTAAAATCAGGCAGTCATTAAGTTGTGTGTCATGAGTGTCACGAAATATTTTATACACTCAGCAAAATATGTAGAAGCATATTCAGGAGTGAGCTGTCTATACATAGTGCCAGGACAATTATGTTAATATAAATATGTCATGTTAATCTCGCTGCACCCTCACTGCAGTATGTAATTTATCTGCAAACTCTTATCTGGCATACCATCAGCGCCCTCTATAGACCATGGCTCCAATATCATTAACTTGAAGAGTAACTAACCCCCCCCTCTTTCTTTTTTAATCTAAACTAAGTACAGTACTGATGAGTTTACTAGACAATCTGCATTAGAAAATGAATTTTAATCACAATTGTTCCAGACAGCAATCTTTTTTCCCATCAAATAGTTACCTGGCTTCAAATCCACCAAAATATGAGAAACCTGACTTGAGCTTCTTTCACAAATTTGTAATACAGTATATTGGTTGCCCTTTGAACATTGGAAAAGTAAATATAAAATTGCAAAGTTAGAGAACAACCATCCTCTCATTAAAGCTCTCTGAATAGCTGGCCAACCTAGGATTGGTCAGAAGGTTCGTCCATATAATTTTTTTTCAAATTGTTAAATTATTATTTTAGATATTAGTAGATTAGGGCTGCAGAAAAAACAATTACTACCAACCTGCCTTCAATCGAGGATCTGTATACTGCACGAGACAAAAAGAGGGCTGTGAAAATATTTACAGACCCCTCACATCCCGGACATAAACTGTTTCAACTCCTTCCCTCAAAACAACGCTATAGAGCACTGCACACCAGAACAACTAGACACAAGAACAGTTTTTCTCTGAATGCCATCACTCTGCTAAACAAATAATTCCCTCAACACTGTCCAACTATTTACAAAGTCTTCATTACTATTACTATTAATCTTCTCACCACCCCTTATCATCCATCCCCTCCCGCTTGTGACTGTATGACTGTAACATGTCGCTTGTATCCTAATGATATTTTTTGACTGTTTCCTAGTATGATTTGATTGCTTATTGTACCCTATGATTATTATTAAGTGTTGTACCTTATGATTCTTGACTCTTGACGAATGTATCTTTTCTTTTATGTACACTGAGAGCATTTGCACCAAGACAAATTCCTTGTGTGTCCAGTCACACTTGGCCAATAAAGAATTATATTCTATTCTAATATCAAATAAAATCTGAGCCATGTGATCACATGCTCATTGACAATCAAGCTGATACATAGCTTTAAAATATTCTTTAACAAGTAAGTTCTCTGCCTTGAGTTGTAAAAGGCAGGGAAAAGATCAAATAATAATTTCCATCATTTCACACAAATTACAGTGGGCTTCAACCTCAGTCTCCTTGGTCTTAGTTTAATCCCAGACAGTGCTAGTAAGGGGTGTAATTTGCTGTGCCACACTCCTTAGTAGCACTGATGACAGTTTGGGTAATGAAACTTCTGCAAGAAAACAAGCAAGGTCAGAGAGCACTAAGGACCCCGCATTCACAGAATAGTTTGGAAACATACCACCAAGGATTCCCCTCTCGTTACAATCCTGAGATGTTCCCCTTTGTTGGTCTTTGGCGAATACTTTTTCCACCTCAGCCCTTTTAACAACTACCTACCATTCAGTCCAACAATCAGAAGAAACCTGTTCACCCGCTCGGCTTCGGTGTAAGAGGTGAATGCTGGTAGCTTCTGCTCTGCTGCATATTGCAAAGGATCTCTAGCATTAGCCAGCTCAGGAGATGTCTGCTGAATCACAGTGAGAGGCTGCTTCTTTTCTGGGTTGCTGACGGTGACTTGGTGTGAAGCCTGGAATGAAAACAGTCCAGGTGGATACGTTTAGGGCAGGGGGTCAAACCCGATTTCATTGAGGGCCACATCAGGGTTGTGTATGACCTCGGTGTGTGTGTGTGTGTGTGTGTGTGTGTGTGTGTGTAGGTGTGTGTGTATGGCCGGGTGAGCATGGCTAGCTCAATGGCACTTTTGTCAGGGGCACCTAAGACTCAGGCAGGGCTGGGGGGAATTCATTGTCTCCAGCAGAGGAAAGTGAGACCAGGGAGAGGGCCAAACCCTTGTCCTCCAGAGGAGCCTTGCGGTCCCTCTTCTGCAGCTCTCGCTGGCAGAGGGCTTGCAGCCTGTCCTTTGCTGTTTGCAGGGCGGTCCCATGGGCCAGATCTAAACACCCTACAGCAGGGGTGTCAAACTCAAATTCATCGGGGGCCGCATCAGCAGTTTGGTCCCCATCAAAGGGCCGGTTGTATCTGTAGGTCTATGTGTCCAGTCTTTATTATCATAAATTAATGTCACTGCATTCAATTATTACTGTTTTTTGTAATAATGTAAGTAATAACTAGCTCTGAAAGCAGAAACATAGTCAGAATAATGACAAGTAGATATTCAAATGTACAATTATTGTACAATGTATTGAAAAATGTTTTTTGGTAACAAACATTAATTTTTTTTTAAACATACAAATATTGCCAAACACTGTTTATTAAACATATGGAAAACACAAGGCATTACCTTTTTTTTAACTTTTATAGTGCCCAGCCATGTGCCCCCTTTTAAAGTGCCCAGCCATCTGCCCCCTCCATTTACTTTACTTACCTTTTACTTCTTTCTTTCTTTTACTTCTTTCTTCTTGCTCCTCTCCGCGGCGTCCGCGCGCTCCTCTGATCCCTGGAGATGTCGGGCGGACGTCACGTGATGACGTCACGTCCGACACCCAGGGAGCAGTGCGGGGCAGGAAGAAGTCGGGCCAGGTCCCGGAAGGTAAGTAATTTTTTTTTTTTTTAACTTGAGCCATTTTTAAAATGAATTTACTCCGTGCAGGCACGGAGTAAATTCATTGAAAAAAAAAAAGGGGGAGGCTGCAAGGCTGGCGGCGGCACCGCGGGCCATCAGACGAGGTATGGCGGGCCGGATTTGGCCCGCGGGCCTTGTGTTTGACACCCCTGCCCTACAGGCTGGATCCAGCCCGTGGACCTTGAGTTTGACACCCCTGATTTAGAGCATTGAAGTCAAGAGCAACAGCCAACTCAAAGGGGAGACAGGCCAGGGAATCAAACAGTACTGTAGTGCTTAGGTAGTGCTCCTAGGTAGAAAAGCAACCCCTCCCTTTCAGCAATAAGGAATAACTTTACCAAACACGGAGTGACATCCAGCCAAGGAAGTAGCGTTTGATGCCAGGGAGATCAATGGTACAGACTAGCAAAAAGGTGGGCGAAGCTGCCTAATTCTGCAAATAATTGTAGTTACATTTGCAGATGAGAAGATAAATAATGTCAGATATCTACCCATAGCATTTTTGGCTGGAAAGAGAGCACCAGGAAGCCTAAAGTGTGCCATAGCAGATCCTGCCCATACCAGTATATGCAGCTGTCCAGTGAAACAGTGGACACGAACCATCCATTGGGCAGTTCCTTCACTCTTCAGGATCAAGAGGAGCCCCTGGCGTAGAGATCTTCCAACCGCATGAAGCTCCACAGTCAGATGGGCCAGCCTGGACCTAGAAGAGAGCAGACTGCCACCTCCACCTTTAATATCAGACCATCAAGCTAAAAATTATGGAATCAGGTCTGTGCTTCCAACGAATTGCTAAGATTCCTTGAATATCACATACACGCGCACACACGGTTTCCACAACATAACATCCAAAATGAATTACATCTGCAAGCCAGTTCCCAATGTTTGTGATTTTTATTTCAACCTTAGGTACTTCGAGATAAGCCATTTTGATGCAATTTATCATAGCCCCTCCCCCTTTTCCATTCCCCACCCAACTCCAGAGAACAAGCTTTGCCAGCTTTCCATAATAGTCCAGCCTCTTCTAAATATAAATGGCATTGCTGTGTTATTTCCAACCACCCATCTATGTTAGACCTTCTGGGCAAGGTTTGAGTGCATACCTGGGGGCAACACCTTTGGAAAGGATAATGTGAACTTCAAGATCTTGAGGAGGGTCAGGATTCTGGCAAATTCTCAGGGGCTGCAGCTGGCGTTCAGAGGCAAAGTGCTTGGGCGTTAGGAAATTCCTATGCAATTTGCAAATTGCCTGGGCAGTCCCACCTATTGAGGGAGGAAGGCAAGAAGAGAATTAAGACTGTATATAATCTCCCTCACTAAGGAAGAAAACCCTTTGGCTGTTTCTGTTAATTTAACATCAAAGACCCTTTCAGTGCAACTCCACTCGTTTGGTTGGCAACGGGTTTTCACTTGACATTGTTGAATTCACGTGGCCCCTGTTCTTTATTTCATTGACATTCAACCTCTATGCCTGATAGGATACACCTAAAAATGAACCAAATTGTAACCTGTAAATTTTTAGCATAATTATACATTTAATAATAACTTAATTTAATAATAAATTGTTCATTTAACACAATTATGGGTTCATACTTGCATCTGATTCAGGTTAGAAGCCTGGTTTTCCTCCTTCCTGAAGCCCTTTGGTCTAAACTCAAAGCTCCTTTCTACCTCCTACTCCGTACACACACACACAACATGCTCGCACCCATTTCACTGCTACTCTATCACACTGCTAAACCCCACAGCTTCTACCGCCTGCATTAATACATCCCACCCTCCCATAGAAAGAGCATGTAATTCTGAAGCCATCTCTGCTTCAGGGTGGCCCATACCAGACCCCAGGCGTGTGTAGATTGTATTGACTCCACGATACTCAGCAAATGAAGTGACCCCTCCATGTTTCCTACGTGCCCACTTAAGCAGGCCTCTTGCAGAATCTGGAAAGTCGGTCTCGGCAGATGCCACCGGCTGAGAGGCTGAGAGGCTGGAGCCCAGAGAGACCTGGAGACAAGGGAAAGATAACGGGAAAGAAGCTTGACCTTAAATTACTTTGATTTTTTACTTTGATTTTTTCTCATTTTTACTTTAATCTGGGAGACAGTGACAAGAGCTACACCTCAGCCTTACAGGCCCACTCAAACCTACGGTTACTAGCAGGTGTGGGTTCTCTGCCTGGTTGCTGGGTGGGCGTGGCCATGGTGGGCATGGCCTAGTCAGCCTCTGCACAATGGTGGGCGGGGCTTTTTGCCCTCTCCAGGCTTTCCTCAAGCCGCGGGGGGGGGGGGGGGAAAACAGCCTCCTCGGGCTCTGGAGGCTCTTTGGAAGCTGAAACAGGCCTGTTTCTGGCCTTCCCAAACTTCAGGGAGGCCCGTTTTTCACCCTCCCCGAGCCTCCACGTCACCCTGCATTTACCTGCATCCAAAATGGGCCACGCGGGGACTCCTGAGAGGGGCGGGGTGGAGTGGGCGGGGCCAGCCAGGGGTGGGATAGTAGATATCTGAACTGGCAAAGGAGGGTACAGACAATTGGAAAGGACAAATGGGGGCAAAAGGGGGCACACCCTTTAGTTTTTTTGACATCTGTGACAAAAGTTACAGTGAAAAGCTGCAACAACAACAACAACAACAATAACAACAACAACAACAAAGAAAAGAAAAGAAAAGAAAAGAAAGTACCCAGATCTACAGGTATTTGGAATTACTTTTTCCAGCATCAGAAAGACTTCTGATTTTTCAGTCACAGGAATGTGCTAAAGCAGGAGGGTCAAGAAGTATTTCAGAGATCAGGTATGTCCAGCCTGCAGCCAACAGGCCCCTTGTGGCCCTGAACATCTAGTGATATGACCCCACAAGATCACAATAACAAATATCAAAAAATAAAGTTTGTTATTTATATGCATTAACCAGTGGTGGGATTCAATTTTTTTTTTACTACTGGTTCTGTGGGCGTGGCTTGGTGGGCATGGCAGGGGAAGGAGACTGTAAAATCTGCAGTCAGAGGTGGCATTTGTCGGTTCTCTGAACTACTCAAAATTTCTGCTACCTGTTCTCCAGAACTGGTCAGAACCTGCTGAATACCACCTCTGGCATTAACTATTTTATATGCAGCCCAGGACAATTCCTATTCACTTAATGTGGCCCAGGCAAACCAAAAGGTTGGAGATGCTTGTTGTAGATATTCAAAAAGCTAGACAATGTTTGAATTTAAGGCTCTGCCTGCCTGCCAGATGGAAGATAGGGGGACAGCTCCTACTTTTGCCACATCTCTGAAAATCCTATTGAAACCTCACTAACTCAATTCTCCCATCTATATGGTGGAACAATAATAATTTATTATATACAAGAAGATCCTGAGCTCAAACAAACATAGATGATCGTTGATTTTAGGATTAATTAAAGCACTATTTAAAATGTATTTGTTGCCCATCTATCCTTTATGCTAAGATTTAGTTCATCATCTTTATTTGCTCAGGGAAAAGTTGCCTCCTCCTCAGAGGTTCCAAATGTAATATTCTCCACCTTTGTCCTGTAGAACATTCTGCCCAAGTTCTGTTCTCACCTGGAAGGTCCAATTTTTCCCAGGAGAAGAAGACAACATCCATTGCACCGGCTGCTGGGAATGCAATACAAAGATAGGGGCTCCGCTCAGAAGATTTGGAGCCAACATAAGAGTTACCTGAAAGAGGGTCAAACAGATCAAATCTCTTCACTACAGATCTTCATTTTAGATTATGTTCTGTGTATCATTATAAAATGGTTCTTGGAATACCTTCATCTGATAAACTTAAATTTATCTCCAGTTAGCAGAAATGGAGCAAGATCTACAGAGATAGCCTAGAATTCTTGAGGATGTCTGAAGTATGACAAATATGATTAAATTAGTTTAATAGCTTGCCTTGAGGAACAGTACCCAGCCAAGAAATCTGGATGCCCTTACCCTGGTAGATTTTTGTAGAGCTCTAAAGACCTGGCTTTTCCTCCAGATATTTGGGGCTGTCAGTTAAGCGAGTTTTGCAGTGATATTCTTTTCTTTCTACAGTTACTGTTTAACCAGGACATAATTAGTTGATACTGTTATGATTGTTTTAATCTTGATATGCTGCCCAGAATCACAGCTGTGAAATGGGAGGGGCATATAAATTATTTAAACAAACAAGCAAACTAAATTCCAACCTGATCCATATTTGATGAGGCCTTCCTTTTTTAAATTTCTTCATATCATTGTAAGCATGTATAAGCTACCAAACTATTTTAACTATTAGGGTCGCCCTTCAAAAGTTTTACTGCATACATTACCACTTGATGAGAGTAGAGGAATTCCTTTTCCAGACTTGCAGGACTGTAATTGGGCATTTACTGTGCTTTCTATTTTGTTGGAATTCAGTTCCTATAGATTGATTTATTTGTTTCTCAAATTTTAGGTACCGCCCATCTCACTCTCAGAGGTGTCACTCTGGGAAGTGTGCAGTTTAAAAACATAAGAGTATTAAAACCTTATAAAAATGCAATGCATGGGTAAAAGGAGCCAGGTGGAAACATAATTAAAATCATTTAAAAGTTAAAAGACAGGTGGAAGGCCTTAAGGCACCAACCAGCCCTAGAGTTTTGTGTGCTGCTCCGCAAGAGCCATGCAAGTTGTCAGACTCTTTTGAAAGGCCAGGAGAGAGGGGGACCACCACTCCTCTGGGGAGGGGAGGGAGGATGTTCTGAGGGCAGGGGCAACAGCAGAGAAGGCCCCGCCAACTGACCCCACCCACTGAAATCTTTAACCAAGGGGGCCACAGCATAGCTTCCCTGTCTGACTGGGTGAGAATGGCTGATGTGATGGGCATAAGGCAATTCCTCAGGTCACCTGGCCCCCTGACATGTAGGGCTTAGATCCGAGTTCTTATTAGATTCCACACCAGAAGATTTTGTGGGAACTCACACTCCTCCCAATCTAAGCCAGTTTCAAGGCGGGGGCTGTGTCAGAGACAGCCATACCATGCAGAGCATTAGCCAGTGTTAATGTACCTGGGCGTTGGCAGGCCCTCCCTTGCGCAGGCTGATGATGTGCACTTCTTGGCCCGTGGAGGAGAGTCCCTGGCTGGTGCATCCTTTGCCTTTTCGCAAGACCTCCCGAAAGCCCAGGATAGGATGGGAGGTGGAGGCAGACTCAGGCAGACAAGTGAGATGGTGCCAGGCAACTGCAGAGCAAAATAGAGATTGTGCCTCTGGTGCCAAAGCTGCCTTCACTCTGTTTCTCCTTATTCCCAGACACAGAATCTATGCCAAAGCAGTCAGGAATTTGAACTTAGAAATTTGTTTACTTCTTTATGACATCTATTCCATGCTGCCATGTGAAGAATATGAAAACATCTGACAATGAAGGAGAGCAGAGGGCAAGAAAAGCAAGGAATGGAGCAAACACTGGGCAGAAAGGGGGCAGGGCTCACGGGTTCTCTTTCAATTGCTCAAGTGCTGTTGCTGTTCTCTGAGGATTCAGCTACTAGATCATGCAAGTCAACCTGTATTTTCTCCCCTACCCGCTCCAGGGGGTTCTGCTAATTATATCCAGTTCCAACTATTCAGTTAATTATACCCAGACCAGATCTGTGATGAAGGGCTTCAAGCAAACTGGTATCCCTTTTCTCTGCTTCTCTTTCCTAATGGATCTTGAACATCAGATATATTTGGGGTGGGAATGCCTCTGGGTTTCTCTCAAACACCTCCCCTATTTTGCCTTCTGTAATTATGTATAATTTTATTTTTAAATTCCAAACTTTTTCTTGGAAAGAAAGAGAATTTAAACAAAATATTATATTTTTCTGCTGCTAACAATTTGGAAGCAGACTTAATCATTGAACTTGGTACATCCCAACTTATTGGCTCTATGGCTTTTCCCAGCCAAATGGAAAAAAAACACATATCATTGATGCTGTGCCAATAGAGCAGTAACTAAGGTTTGAAATTGCTAGAGTGATGTCTGGATGATGTAGGGGTGTGCAGCACTTCAGAGCGGATACAGAAATATTTTGGAACAAGTATTGCATTGCACTCCTTTGTGCCTCCTTAAAGCAACTGTGTCTTTTCCTGGGCTTGAGTATATAATCATGTGAAACTTTCAGCACGTTTGTTTAGACTTTCACAGCCAGCATCTGTTGAGTAGTGTTGGGCTTCAGGGCTTAGTGACTGTGTCTAGACAGATTTCCTGATGTTTCCCCAGCAACTGTGGCTGGCATCATTAGAAGGACCTTGAAACCCAACACTGGACAAATTTTCAGCAAGTTTATACTGTTTATACAATATGTTTTCAGTCTATTTATACAGTTCTGGAAAATGTGAGGAAAATTACTTTTGCTGCCCTTTAGATCACAGCCTCCTCTATCAGTCCCTCTCTCTGAAGTTCAAAGATGTCTTGTGGACCATCATCCAAGGGTGGGTTTTCATGAGGCAGCCTTTGGCTCATCTCCAACTCATGACCAAGGCCACTTAATTTAGTATCTGTGACATTGATGGAAAATTTCCAACATATGCTTTCCTCTGTGCGTGATTTCTGCAGCTTTAGCATGATTGCAGTGATGACCCAGTTAGAGACTGGAAACTACCCAGCATCTATTGGCCATTTTAATCCGCTACATCCACATCTATGCTTTCCAATCTTTTGCTTACAAAAGGTAAAAGAAGGGAACTCCCATCACACAATACAGTAATGTCTTATTTCTACAATTGTTCTGCCAGCCAATTACATTTGGGCAAAGTGGGTGTAATCGGGATCCCCTCACTCAAAAGTTGCCCTCTTGTGGCACTTCCCCTGTGCCATTGCAGTGGAAGAGTCTTAAGACCAGACCTGATTAGGATGTCAGTGAAGTCTCCATTTTTTAAACTATTCTGGTTTAATACTTATTTTTAATTATTAGTTTTGGCGGTTATGCTTGGTTGTTATGTTTTTATCTGTTTCAATTATATATTTTGATGATGTGATCCACCCAGAGTCTTTTGGAGTGAGCAGCTGTAATAAATCTTACTCCCCTTCTCCTTTTTTCCTTTTTTCCTTCTCATTCTCCTTCATTATTCCATCAGAAGAATTACTATTACTAATTCCACATTCAAATATGGCGTAATATAAACTGTCCTGTACCTGCTCCCTTTTTCAAAGCGACACGAGCTTTTGATGGCTATTCTGGTAATGAGAGTGGTGGAGAGGACAAGTTACTAATGTGAGGGCTGGATAGCAGGAGTAGTGGAAATTTCACCTTCTAGCCCCCTTATTGACAATCCCCTATTAGGTGTTTTTAGAAAAGCGAAGAAATGGTCAGCGAGAGAGACAGAGAATATTGTGGTTGAGTGGGAGGGAGTTTTCCAGTAAAGCAGGAATCACAGCATGCCAGGTTTGAAAAAGGCCTTGAAGATAATCCACAGCTGCAGAGGCCTGACAGATGGCCAGCCACGCAGCCTCTCTTGAAATATCTCTTCTGCTCCCCTACTCCACCTCCACAAGTTAGATGCAATCTCTAGGTTAATAGAGACTCTGCTCCCCAGAACATATCGGATCCTGGGGGGTGGCTTAAGCACGTCTTAAGAGCAAAGTATTAAATCCATTCTTCACTTTCCTCAGGTTTGTCCCAGTTGATACTGTAAAAACCACCCCACTTGCTGGCTTCACAGATGTGCTCTGCCTCATTGCCTGGAGGAAAGTGCATTAAAGAAGCTGCCTGGGGAAGCCCCTGACTTCTAGGAGCCCACCTTCTCTTCAAGAATTACTCCTGAAGCCTTAGATTGCGTCCCGCTGCTGGAGTCACTGGCAATTCATGTCAATGTTGTAGGACACCCTCCAGCAGGAAATGTAATCTACAGCCCTCCAGCTGCATTGCTTCCCACAGCCTTAAAATACAGCCTCCCACGCAGGGGTAGGATTCTACCGGTTTGGACCGGTTTGGCCGAACTGGTAGCTCCGAAGATCACTTGGGAGGGAACCAGTTCGTTCCGGTGATCAGCTGCTGGGCCCACCCACCTGCCTCAGCTCCATACTGACCCTTATTTCTTGCTTTTGGTGCTCAGCTGCATCACACGGCACAGCGGATTGCTGCACGTCAGCTGTTCAAGAGACAGGGAGAGTGCAGGAGTGCAGGAGGAGGTCAGTAGGAAAGCCTCTGCGTGCGCGCAAAGTGCGCATTTGCCACACACGCGCACAAAGCATGCATGCACATGCAAAGCACACCCACCAAGCCATGCCCACCGAATCGGCGGTAAACCATTTTTAATCCCACCACTGATCCAGACTTCTTGTAAACTTGTGTTAATGTTACAAAAACAGAAAATTATTAAACCAGCACAATGCGGTCATTTATATGTACTATTTCATATTTTGGGGGAGACCAAGTGGAAAAGACACCTTCAGTATATATTTATTTTTAAAATGGATATGCCACCCCTCAGAGCAAAGTTTCTAGCGAAGCTTGCAAGTGCTAAAATTGTGATTTAGAACCGCATTCAAAATACCTAACATAAAAGCAGTAAAAGAGCAGAAAGGTAATAATTATTTTGCAATTTAAATTAAATTAATGTAATATTTAATAAAATAAACATTAAGATATTAAAAGGCCTTTTTTTAATACTGGAAAAGGACATTCCTATCACTGAGCAAAGAATGGAATTTAAGGAAGGGTCCCCAGAACATTTACCCTTTAAACCCACAGTCCATATTTGGCTAATCTGAGAGCCCAAGAAGGAGAAGGAGACGCAGAGGCCTTCCATTGGCATTAGCTTAAAAAACTAAGTGAAAATTACCAGAGGAGAACCTGCATCTGCAATGTGTCATGTGTCTTTTTTTGCCTGAAAGCAGCCTGGCATATATTTTCAGTAATCTATTATAGGAAAGTTTGAAGAACAAGTCAAAGGATTAGAACAATGAGTGGCTACACTTCAGCTGAGGAGAAAACACCACTCCTTTAAAAGGAACCTAAACAATAGAAAGCATTGGGCTGGTTGCTAAAAGTACCCGTACCTCCCAAGATATCCAAAAGAGTGAACTCAGGGATATTGTAGAGAGCATCTAGGTCCATGATGGCGAACCTATGGCACGCGTGCCACAGGTGGCACGCAGAGCCATTTGTGCTGGCAGGTGTACTGCAGGCAAACTTACCTCACTGCGCATGTTGATTTTCAGCCCGTTTGAGGCCTTTTTCTGCCCCACAAAGGCTTGAGGAAGGCTTCTGCAGGCTTCTACAAGCTTTGTAGGCTGAAGTCTAGCCCCGTTTCATCACTTCTGGTATTTTCGGAAAAACAGGAAGTGACCAAATGGATTTCAGCCTACAAAGCTTGTAGAAGCCTGCAGAAGCCTTCTTCAAGCTTTTGGGAGGCCGAAAAAAGCCTCAAACCGGCCGAAAATCAGCTGTGAGGTGCGGTGCAGGAAAGGGGGCGGCAGTTGGATGGGTGGGATTACGCGCGCATGCGTAGGAGATGTGTGTGGGGGGGTGCACATTGCCTTCTGGGTGCTGGCATGCGAGCGCGAGCATGCACAATTTTTGGCACAGGAGCCCAAAAAGGTTAGCCACCACTGATCTAGGTTAAAATAAGCGGAGGAATTAATGCGTGCAGTGTTACTTTTGGAGCCCACTTTCACCTGCCCAGATAAAAATAAAAGATGGATGTTGCTTTCTAAAAGCAAACTCCAAATCTATCAAAGAGGCATGAGGTATAGTGATAGAAGACTTCAATTACCCTAACAAAATTGAAGGAGACAAAAACATGTCAATTGTTTTCAGGAAACCCCTAACATTTATCTCTGATGTTTCTCTATCAGGAAAAGGAACAAGAAGACCCACTATTTTAATCATCTCTATTGATTAAGTTCAAATTAAAGTAGTGGATCTTCTTATTAATTTGAACTTATGTAATCAGTAGAGAAGAAGCAACTAAGGAAATGTAAGTAAGAGGAATTTTAAAGAACAATACTAACAAAATCTTAAATTCTTGATTTTAGAAATCCATTTTATTTGTTAGATTTATATACTAATTAAAGCTGAATATTGATGAAACACAGTTGCAAAGTATTCCAAAGAGCACAATGTTTCTGCACAGAAAAAGCTTAAGGAAAAAGTGAAAACAGTTTGTTTGCTTACTGAAATACTGTTCCTCTGAAAAGAAAACAATTAACTTGACATGGGCTCCCAAATACAATAATGATCAGAAATCAGCATGAATCTGTCAAAAAGTCTTAATAAACTGTCTCACTTTTTAAAGATTCTCTTTTATTAATCTTCAATAGTTTTTTTAAAAAAATTAGGTAGTTTTCTTAACCGATTGTGAGAACTATATCATGATTTCAGCAAAGATAGCTCAAAAATCATACCCCAAATGCTCATCAATGATTCTTCATCAAATTGTAGAGGTTCTAAATAAGTTCTGGGCCTTGTATCTTCCATATTTTATCAATACTTTGGTAGAGAAAATTTCAATTAAATTTTCAGATCAAGTGTAGACAACACTTCAGAAGACAAAAATAATGAATAAATAAATAAAAATTCAAAATTATCTTGATAAGCTAGAGAAATTGACTGAAAATAATGGAATTAAATTTAGCAGGGACATAGGCAAGTTCTTCATTTATTAAACAGACATCGAATGCACAAGCATAGGATGAGAGATATCGGATTTGGTATCAAGTGCTTGTAAAGAGAGATGAGCACTTGATTGCAAACTGAATTTGAGTCAATGGCTTCCAAAAACAGAAGCATACTTTTAGGTATGAGAAGTAGAGAAGTAGAGTTTCTACTTCTCAAGGGAGTAACAACTCCATATCATTCTTCATTGATCAGATCTCATCTTTAGTATTGTGTTTGGTTTTGAGCATGAGACTTTAAGAAGGATTTAGAAAAGTAGATGTCACAACATTGTAAAAATTGTATTTGTGTTATTTTGTTGTTGTGTTGTTCTATATCTGTGTTGTTTTTAACTGTGTAAAATTCAATACAAATTTTTTTTTAAAGAAAAATTAATATAGGTTCAGAGTAAAGCCATGCAGATGGTCACTAAATTGGAAATGAAGTCCCATAAAGAATGACTGAAAGTTCTGAGAATGTTTGCTTTAAGAAGAAGAGACTAAGACTGGCATTTGGCAATCTTCTTCAGGGACAGAAGAATAAGACCCAGAGATAATCTGTAATGCTCTGGTGGTCATAACATGAAGTAATTAATATAATTTTCAAGTGGGTGGATACTTAATAGTGAAAGCAGTTCAAAAGTGAAATCCTTTACCCAAACAAATGGTAGTCTCTGTCCAGTTGGTGTGTTTAAGCAGAAACCAGGCAGCCATTTGTTGGGGATAATTTGGATTTCTGCCCTTAGATGCTTGATGTCCCAATATCTCTTTCAACCCTATCTTAAAGAGTTGGAAGGGAATACTTGAGAAAAAAAACTCCCTCAACTATTGTGGCCCCAGATTGAACACGAATACACCTTGAATAGATATTTGGCAGCATAACCACACCCTCCCAATTTCAGTTCGCACTGTTATTAGCTTAAATTGTACTGGCTGAAATTTTAAGAATAAAACTCCCATATATACTTTACTGAAGAAATTATGGCAAACTAATATGTAATATTTTGATTATGCATGCAAACATAAAAAATGCTTCAGTGTTCTGTACTTAAGAGTTTGAAAGATTTTATGTCTCCTGCATGCCTAGTTGCTAGTACACGGTCCATTTAGTTTTTCATAACTGTGGTCAGAAATAGTTTGAGCTTTCAAGCTGCTCAAGTGAGACAAAAATAACATGATAGACATCATTGGGAAAAGAAGAATTGCATTGAATTGAAAACTTTGGCCAAGTGTGGTCAGACACACTAGAAATTTGTCTCTGGTGCAGAAGCTCTCATTGTACATGCAAAATAACAGAATAATGATGATCATCATAATAATACCGATAAGAGATGAGAGTAAAGAGGATAATAAGAAGCATAAATAATACTACAGCCATACTAGATTGGTAAATACATGGGATATTACACTCCCCACCTCTACTCCTCTGTTGGACAGAGTGCATCAGCCCTAACAAATCACTCATTGTAGATTAAAAATTGGGACAGCTGAATTTTAGCAACCTCATTTTTACCTGTTCCAGAGCAAGTCCAAAGGACAAACAATAAGCACCATCTCCATCGACAAATGATGTGTTGGTAACTGCCACACATCATTGGTACTTGTAGATTTTTACTAGTCACAACCTATGTATGAAAACAAAATCAAAGAAAGCATGAGGGAAGAAGGAAAATATGATTCATAACCTCCAAGCTGTTTCAAATTCCTAGACAGTTTAATTTCACATTCAGATTTGAAGATAAGACACTAAGCACTTACCTTTCTACTTCTTTTCTCTCTACCTGAAGTGCAAACATATAAATGACTAAAAACACACACCACCAAGAGCTCTTCGTACAGAGCCTCTACTCCTCTTACCAGCCTGTTGCATGCAGGATACCTATAAATGAAGCGCATCTTTTCATCGTGTGCATCCGGCATATTTATTGATCTCTGGACCTTAAATCCTGGCCAAGGCCTTGGCTAGCTCAATTACCAGGATTAGCTTGCAGACGTTTCCCCCGCTGGCCTTGATCTTCTTTTGTAGCCATATCAACACGCCTCTGCTCCACTGTCCCCATGGAGGGGAGGGCTATATAACCCATTTTCACCACCACCACCACCTGGATAAAGTCTGCAATATTTTTCAGCCTACCTTTAGTTTCCAGGATGCATGAAAAAGCTCTACCACTAAATAAGGGGCCAATGCCAGGCATTATGGGAGAAAATGAAACATTAGCCCCAAAGTTAAACATCCTCACTCTCGCCCCCAATGATCCAATCTTTCTTAGGTCTCTCTATGGGTTGAGTTCAGAATATACTACCCAAAATTGTCCTTCAAACTTCAGTCTAAATAATCTCAAATGGAAGTCATTTACAGGGTATGCCTTGACTCAAAATTTACAGTTTAGTAACCCTACAATAGCACTGAAAAAAAGTGACTTGTGACCATTTTTCACACTTGTGACCATTGCAACATCCTCATGTCATGTGATCAAAATTCAGATGCTTGGCAACTGACTCATGACTGTTGCGGACTATATATAATGAGGTCATGTGATCACTTTTTGCAACCTTCCATTGAGCAAAGTCAATGGGGAAGCCGGATCTACTTAACAACCGAGTTACTAACTTAACCGCTGCAGTGGTTCACTTAACGTCTGTGGCAAGAAAGGTTGTAAAATGGGGCAAAATTCACTTAACTGTCTGACTTACCAACATAAATTTTGGGCTCATTTGTGGTCATAAGTCAAGGACTACCTGTAGTTCTTAACCTTCACTCTCCTCCATAGACAAGGATGTAGCCACACCAAACCTGAATGTACTGAGTGTCTTACTAAAGATGAAATAGATTCTATGCTCACTTAGGCTTTTAGGGTTGTGTACAAGAAATGTGCATTTGGATTACACTTCTCCATAAAGCATCCCACAAATCATGAACTCTTTTGAGGTGAAGAAGCTGGCTTCTTTCAATAGTTCACTGGTCCATTTAATCTTTATTATCCCCTCCAGCTGGTTTCCCAGTGGCCCTTCTTGAGCATGTGCTTGCAAGGGCTCAAGATCTTAGGGGACATATCGCATGTCCCAAATGTGCCCCCACCTTCTCTCCCACCTGTGGTCAAAATCTTTCTCCTTTGGACTCTTATTTCCTCCAAGGTCATTCACTTATCACTCCCACCTTTCAAAGCTGCTTTGGAAGCAAAGCAGAAGACGGACTGCTGTGCTTTGGAGTGAACTTGCGTCAAGATTGCATGATTGGGGATAGCAGGAGAAAAGGGAGGTGCTACGCTCTTCAGCTGGCCAAGCAAGTAGGACCCTGGAGAGACCCAGCCAAAAAAAGACTCTTACCTTCCTCAGCAGAGCGGCCTCAGTGCCCCCTTGGAGCCAGGCACTGTTTAGGAAAGCTGGAGAAGCAAATGCCACCTGAACTGAAGAGGAGGAAAGAAGAGGTGGGAGGGTGCCATCTGCTTCAGGAGATGCAGAAATCATGGGCAAGTCTGTGCCTCTTGTCCCCAGGCCGGCATGATTTAACAATCATGAAAATTAAGTGGTCAATGGAAAGTTAAAAATAACTGTAGGGCTCTGGGAGGGTCAAATTACAAGTGAGGAGGGGAGGGTGCATGGAGAGTGTGGCAGTTGTTGATTTGTAAAGGAATTCGGCGGTGGAGGAAAAGTGCTCCCAAGACAAGGAGTGGGCACTGCCACCCGAAGCATCCACGTTCCCGTTTCCTTCTCTCCCTCTTTATCCCTCTTTGCATTGGTTTCTCCATTCGGAGGCAGGGCACGAGTGGTGGCTGAGAGGTACTAAATCAGCAAGCTTCCCCTGATGATGCCTCACAAAATAAGGAGCATAAAAGCTAAGCTCCAAGTGGGCGTCACTAAAGAGATAGCTGGATTTATGATTAACGCAGGCGTGCAAAGGAAGAAACTTCCTGAGCATCATTCGCAAGTTTCTTGATCCCCCTGAAGTGATGCATTCTGGCTCAGGCTGACATGCTGCCTCCCACACGCATGCATGCATACACTTGTAAGATTGGGCTTGGAAGGAGACATTGCAGGTAATCAAGTTGCTTCAAACTGTGAATAACAACAACAACAACAATAATAATAAGGCTTCAATAGCTCACTAGTTGGGGTCAAAGAGCATCAAATAATTTATGAAAAGCAGCAAAGAGATCAGGTTCTGATTGTGTGAGTTTATGAGTTTGGGTGTGTGTCAGACAGAAACTAAGTAAATAGCCTGGCGTTTTGCACTGTATTCATATTTTCGAAACCTTAGGGGCAGAATCCAAGGTCAAAATAAAGATCAATCTACAAGGGGATTGGTCCATGATCACGCAGCAAGATGCACCTCAAAGCACCTGGAAGCAGGGGTGGGGAACATAATATGGTTGCACTACAGTTTCTATTATTGACCAGGCTGGGAAAGTCCCATGAGAATGGGAGCTTTACAACATCAGGACAGTAGGACAGATTGTCTAGTCCTACCATTGGTTATACCATAGGGTGGTGTAGATTTCAGAGACCTGTATACGTAGATTTAATGGTCACATTGTTAGGCTCTACCACACTGGCTCCACTTCTGGCTGTACCCTCATTATATATAGTCCATTCGCGGCTCAGTTTCTGGTCATCCCATATTTCTACACAGCAGTAATGTGCTTTGCCTCATTCGCCTATGTTTCTAGTTTTGTGAAAAAGTTTCCACTGGACTTTAATAATATTCAACTTTCTCTGTTGGAAAATATTCTGTGTGATTGTTCTCTGAATGCAAAATCTTAAAAGTTGTGAAAGAATTTGGAAGTGGGGAAGAAGTACCATAACTTATATGTATGCTTTTCCAGTATTTATATCACTTGTCTCTCCTATCTTTCATAATTTTTTATGAACTGAACTTATCTCAAAATCATTTTATTATTGAACGGAGTAGAGTACAGTTATTCTTGGAGAATGTGACTAGGTAGGCCAAGGTTTCTCCTGCTGTAATAAACCATCCTTGAAGATTTTATTTAGTACAATAAAATTCACAGCACATTTTATTTTGCAGCAATGCAGTGATTAGCCATTTATCCTCTCTAACTAATCCTTTTTGGAAAACTCTCTGCCCCGAGTTCAATTTTTGACTTGGACACTGATGGGATGCTTCGATGACCTCTAAATGTTTTAGCCAGTGAGCAGATTTTGCAATTTGTCCCTTCCCTTATCATCACAAAATGAATGTGAAATGTACTTTGCAAGTGAAATACATTAAAACTTTTCCACTTCCCTAATCTATTGGCTCTCATTCGTATGGAAGTAATATAAATGTCATGTTATATGGTTGGGTTATAACAATGATTAAATTGTTCCTGCACCCCTTGAGGCTTGGTTTGCCCCCTCCTCAAGAAGGCATTGCTGGATCCCACCACATCGGACCATTTTCATCCAGTATCTAATCTCCTTTTCTTAGGAAAGTCATGGCAAAAGTAGTTGTGCAGCAGCTTCAGCAGCTCCTAGGTGAAGAGGATTATTTGAACCCATTTCAGTTAGGATATAAGCCTGGGAAAGGGACAGAAACAGCATCGGTTGCACTTATGGGTGATCCCTGGCAGAAGCAAAGCAGGGATAGTACATCGTTCTTCCATCTTGACCTTTCGACAGCCTTCGATAGTATCACCAATGGCATCCTTCTGGACTAACTCTGTGGGTTGGGAGTGGACATTGTTTTAATTGTAAGTCGCCCAGTACACCACCCAGAGTCACATTCAGTGAGACGGGTGGCCATATAAGTTTGTTGAATAAACACTTGAGTTTTTAAAGAACCTCTAATGAAGATGAAGATGACACAGCTCAAGACCTCTCAAAAGCATTGCAAGTTCAACTCCTGGTTTCACAGGATTGTTGCTAAGAACTCTGTGCACTTTTCTTTTTACAGACACTTTCCATGGGGTTCCAGAGCTGGAAAGGCGATATACAACCCCCTGCTCTGTAGAACTCCAATTCTATCAGTCAAGAAAGATTGCTGTCTAATTTGTGCTTGTACACCTTCAGTAAAGGGAAGCCTATTTGTGTGGGTGAATGGTTTTTGTGTCAAACCGTTGATTTAAACATTGAATTAAAATCTGCCTTTCTGTAACTTCCCAATGTGTCTGACATCCCTGGTATTTGATAGTGGTCTTCCATCCTAGTACTAATTTAGTCTGATCCTCACTTTCTGAATGCAGACAAGAGCACCCAGGGTCTACCATCTGCTGAGACACCAAGTACCTTAATGGGTACTAAAGAAGGCTGGCATTATAATATACATGGAAGGCATATGGATTAGGGAACATCATCCATACTACACCTAAATCTGGCCACAAATTAAACAGTATTGGGCATTAAAGGGCAGTGTTGCAAAATTTCTCAAAATTTAAAATCTTGGTGCAGAACAGAATGCTTAGAGTACAGATACTGCAGACTTATAAGCTGTCCAATTATTGAACAGAGCTTTTTAGGTAATCCCCATTCAAGGGCACTCCTGCCTTGCAGCTGCCAGTCCAAAGGGAAAAACTCTGTGATCTTGATACCTGATCATCCGTTGCCAGGACAAAAACCACCTTCCTGGTGTTCCTTGACAATGATGTGGGCGAGTTGGATACAGAACGCAAGGACACCATTTAAGTTGCCCTAAAAACATGCATTATGGCATACTGTGTCCTATGTAGGAACCTTGAACTTGTTTTGCACTCCAACACATGGATGATCTAATGCTGCTTGATTCTTGTGTTTTAAGGGAAGTATGAATATTGACCCACAGTGTTCCTATTAAAACTAAAAGCTAAGTATGAAGCATCCATGAAGCATCCAAGTTCCAAGCAGCTCCATTTGAAAAAATGTTGAGAGATCTTCTGTAGTTGCTTCACAAATTACACTTGACACATACTCCAAAGTAATATAGAAAATAGGGTCACAAGCCAGAGGTGGGTGTCCTCACCTCAAGAGATACGTGGGATGTAGTCTGTGTCAGGTTTTCTCCCTGACAGGCTGAATTCTGTGGAATATCCTCTCACAGATGGCCCCTAACGTTTTGCAAACCATTTGCAGCAATGTAATTTTAGCAGATATTTAACCATGAGATTTTTCAGCAATTACTTGGGCCCCCTTTGTTCTATCCAGAGTCCTTGCTGAATAGTGCATGTATCAGGGAATAACATCTTTGGAAACAAGAGATGAAACTTGTAAAATGAACACAGACATTTAGGGAAAGAACATTTTATTTTGTTTTTAAGCTTCTATGAGGGTTTGTACAAACAGTAAAAAAAGCTTTTCAAAAGTAATGAAGAATGTTCTTTACACTATTGTTGATGTATTTTTAAATCCCAAAGTTCCACTCAAATGGACCAGACTGACCTCACTTCCTGGAGGCAGACAATAGTTCTGGCAAACTGTTTGGGCTACAGTATAGAACAAGGATGATGACTACTACTGTGTAAGAAAATTCTTGTTCTAAGACTTTGCACATGCCAAGTAATAAGACAATGGGATTCAGGACAGTGAGCCCAACCTGAGAAATGGCTAACAAACAAATAAGATGAAATAGGTGATCAGAACTGCCCTATATAGCTTTATTGAACCTACAGGATGGTTCACTTATAACAGAGGGACACAAAATGGTGTTTCATATCAGACTATTGAAGACATCTGAAATTTCTCTTCAATAATCTTTAAAATTCAAGACACAGTTATTATTTAAATGGAAAACTAGCATTCTGATTTTTTTCAGCCTGTGGGAAAACCCATAAACTCAATCAACCACACAAGCTGTTCAGTGGGCCCATATGTGTGTTCCAAGTCTTAGAAGAGCAAACCAAAACTCAAGACTTCTTGTTTTTGCAGGTGAACTGTAATGTTCACTCCAAGACTACGTGCTGATTGCTCTGTGGAAATACTCTACATCTGATTGCTACAGCCATCAACCTTTTCAGGGCAAGTACCAATGTGGATTTTTGTGCAATGCTATAACAGGTAGCTATGTTTTTGAATGGCCCAAACCTCATAAATTCTTATGCAACCCCACAGATTTTGCACAATTTACTTATCTCGTGAGATTTTGACAGTTTGCAATTGAAACAAAATTTCAAAATCAATGGGTACCATCTAGGGAAGTTGCTGTCAACCCCACCCTAATATAAAAACATCAAATAGTACAGTTGGCACTTGAGTTTTCATGTTTGTAATAATGCCCCTAGAAATATAGGATGCTAATGAGAAATTTCTTCAGCAAGGTCAAGAAGGCATATATGCAACATTCCATGAAACATTAGATGGAATGAAAGACTGCTGGCATATTCAAGTGGCATGGTTGGGATAAGTCATAGATTCATGTGATTTGAGAAAATGGTTGAGTTTTGGAAATGGATTTCAGCCTTCATCACAGCCCAAATAAATAACTTTAGTAC